AAACTTCGATTCGCAAAATCTAGCAAGAACACAAAAAGCAGCTCTATAAAGTTCAATAAGAAAAAGTAAACAAAAATTAGCCTCGAATTAGCAAAATCTTGAAAAAAGCACTTGTTTCACATGGTCATTTAGTCGATCTCTTAAAGAGCACCTGTCTCACGATCATTTATTCGATCTCCTCAAATTTATTGGCGATTTTTCGTCACTGAACCGGAATTGATCTTTCTTATTCGGTTCAAACTCAAAGATCAGTTACCGATTATTGTTGAAATTAGCTGATGAAACATGACCTTTAGTAATTGGTTCGAGCAACTTTGGGGGGGGGAGTGATTAAATATATAATATATATTTGATCTGAATTACTACTGGAACTATCACTCAAATCTTATTAACTCACTCCTTATTAATCAATCGTTTGTCGCTGCATTAACCTTGAAAGGTTATGGGCCCAGATGCCGAATGACGAGTGAGAAATCAGGAGTCAAGATTGACTGTTTGCTCCAACGAATAAGAAAAAAAACTGAGATTTGAAGTGGAGTTGAGAAATTGAAAAAACACATGAAATAGACAACTGATCAGATAGAAAATTGCGAGAATAGAAGCAGGCCAGCGCTTCTTGGAGATAGAAGATTGATCAGATAGAAAGTGCAAAGATAGAAGCAGGGCAACAACTAGTTGAGACAGACAACTCTGACGACAGAAGCAGAGCAACACAACTTCTAGAGATAGACAACTCTGACGATTAAAGCAGGGAAACACAACAGGAAAAGAAGACAGTCAAAAATTACACGAAGGGGTACCGAGTGAGCAGAGCTGTCGAAGAAAGAAAACTGAAACAAACTGATAATCTTTATGTTTTATTTGTAAAAGTTGCTGATTCATGCTCAAGTTTTGCGGACAGATAACCTCGTTCATACGCGGTTGCTCGAATCAGACACAAACATCAATCCAAAGAAAACATTGCCATAAAAAGAAAAAGAAACTGATACCCCAGAATAAAAAACGAACTTCTATATTGCTTAAATAAATATATACAACATTATTCCCTTGTATGAAAACTGAGCTTAATATATGATTTTGATGTAAGAGAAAACGGGGTCATTGAATTTAACATAGAGCAATACTTAGCTTTCTGAATTTTGATTGGAGCTTTATTTTTGTGTAAGACTTAAGTGGGAAATAAGAACTTAGTATAGGAAAGAAAAGTAGAAAACTGATAGGATAGTTTTTCGGGAAAAGAAGAGGCTTTTTCCTACTTTGAAGAGCAATTCGAGCTACGAATTTTTCACTCGAAATTAAACACGATTTTAGATGTTAGTTGATTATAGAAATTTTATGCCAAGCTTAAGACCGATTGCAAAAACAAGTTTAAGACCGAATGTTTTTTGTAGAGATGAGAAAAGTTTAGATGAGTTGGAAAGAGATTTAATGAATTTTAATAGCGAGAACAGAGTTTGTTTTAAATGTCATAAAAGAGGACAACTGTCGAAACAGTGCAGAGAAAACTTGGGCAGCAGACGAGATAGTGAAGACAAAACGCAATTTAGTTTTCTGAGTGTCTCCGGGCAAGGACTTAGACGTAGACTCTGGAGCCACCGGTAATATGATCAAGGATAGAGAGATGTTTGTTAGTTTAGATGAGATCTTCAAAGGAACGGTTAGCTATGCAAATTTTTCGAGACCAAAATTTTAGGGAAAGGTGAAGTTAGATTCAAAGTGAAAGATGAGAAAGGCGAGTTTAAGATTGAGCTGAAGAATACTTTTAAAATTCAAGAAATTTGCCGAGTGTATCAAAAACAAAGAAAGCTGGAGAAGAAGTTGTTTTTGGTGCGAGCTCGTTTGTTCGTCAGGGAAATGGTTCAGTTTACCCATTAAGAGAGGAAAATGGTCTCTTTTTGTGGGACACTATCGTAGGAAAATACGAGTGTTATGTAGTTAGCACATTGAAACAAGGCATTGAAGGATATGTCATAATAACTACATAGACTTGAGTCATTTAAAGCAACATGTTGAAGGCATGAAGATAAGTGATTTTAAAATTGAGAAGATTGTGAGTTGAATAAAGCAAAAAAGAAGCCAGCCCCGGAAGATTGTTACACCAGGGCAACCAGGACACTCGATATTGTACACATAGATATTTAAGGTCCTATCGACCCGATAGCAGAGGATGGTCATAGATATGCTATAGGTTTTGTGGGCCGTTTGTCTAGATATATAAAAATTTATTTCATGAAGACGAGAGATGAGGCAACAGAAAAGTTGGAAAGGTTCATAGCAGACATAGGAGTCCCTCAGACTTTAGTTTCAGATGGCGCAGGAGAGTATATAGGTCAAGATTTTAGGCGAGTTTGTAGGAAACATGAAATGAGACTGGAAGCATCGGCTCCTTATACCCCGAAAGAGAACGGAAAGATAGAAAGGGTGTGGGGAACAATTTCTCCGATGGCTCGCTGCATAACTTTTGACGCCAATTTATCGACAACTTTTTGGCCTTAAGCTCTTAATATGGCTACCAATCTCAAAAACATGTGCTTTCATTCTGCTCTAGGCAAAACATGGAGAAAAACCCAACCTTAATTTTGTGAAAACTTTTGAATGTGTATATAGTTTTGTGGAAAAACGGTTCCGCAAAAAGACTAGAAAAAATTCTAAAAGGGGAATTTTCTTGGGGACATCAGAAATTAGTAAAGCTTATCTGATAGGAATTGAGAATGAAGGAGAACTCAAAGTGCAAAAATCTAGAAACGTTAATTTTGACGAATGTGAGTTCTATTTTGAGAAAAAGATAGAAAATGATGAAGATGAAAAAGTAGGTGATGTAGTGTTTTTTGGAGAAGTTCTCGAAAATATACCAAAAAATGCTAAGGAATCTTTAGCAGACCCTGACTGGCAAGAAGCAATGAAAAAAGAGTTTGATTCATTAGAGAAAAAAGTTTGGGAACTAGTTAGAAAGAGGAGAGAAGCCTATAGGCAGCAGAAGGCATTTTGCTTTGAAGTACGGACCTGCTGGTAAAGTTTCTAGGTTAAGGCTAGGTTTGTTGCAAAAGGCTTTAGCCAAATTGAGGAAAGGGATTTTCACAAAACGTATTCGCCTACAACTAAAATTTCGACCATAAGAATATTTCTAAGCTTAGCAGTTCAAAATAGGTATGAGTTGAGACAGTTGGACATTAAAACTGCATACTTGAATGCCAAACTAGATGACGATCAACCTCTGAAGCAACCTGAAGGGTTCGAGAAGTTCGATCAAGAAGGAAAACCTTTAGTTTGTCTTCTGACGAAAAGTCTTTATGGACTAAAGCAGTCCGGTAAAAACTGGCATAGGACTCTTAAAGGTTATTTTGAGGAGTTAGGCTTTGCAAAATGAGTTGTTGATGAGTGCTTGTTTGTTAGGAGGATTGAGGGAGAGATAGAAGGTTTAATTTGCTTGTGGGTCGATTATATAGTGGTTTATGGAGCGGACAAAGCTATTACTAGCTGGTTTGAATACAATATCTCTGAAAAATCTGAGAAAAGCGAGATAAGCGATCTTAAATGGTTCTTAGGAATGAAAATTGGTTACTCAGGAAACGAAATCAGGATAAGCCAGGAGAAGTATGTTCAAAAGTTGATATCAAGATGTAAGATGACCGAAGCAAAACCGATAACAACCCCTCTTGGTGAAAACGAAAAACTGACAAAAAAATATTTTCCTTTAGAAGGTAGTATAGAACAAGAAACTATTAAAAAATGACTATCGAGGACTTGTTGGTTGTCAAAACTACTTAGCTTTATCAAGTAGACTGGACATTTGCTTTGCAGCAAACCTTCCAAATTCTTTTGAGGAAAACCCAGGTGAAAAGCATTGGAAAGCCGGAAAAAATGTCTAAGATATCTTCTAGGAACAAAAAATTTACCTTCAGTATATAGGAAGGATAAGGCGTTGAATCTTTGTAGCTATTCAAATGCGGACTGTGCTGGAAATATAGACAATAGGAGAAGTACTTCAGGATATTGTTTCAAGCTCAGTGACAACTCTGGTGTAATACGTTGGTCTAGCAGACTTCAGCGTTGTGTATCAACTTCAACAGCCGAAGCAGAACACAATGCTGTGGTCGAAACAGTAAAGGAAGGAATTGATTTACAGGGCATACCTAGCGACTTAGGCATAATATGTAATAGGCCTTCGGATTTTTTCGTTGATAACCAAGCTTGTATTGCTCTTAGTAAACATTCAATGAACCACGGAAAGACGAAGCTTTTTGCCATGAAACACAATTCCTTCGAGAGTTAGTTGAACAGCAGACTCTTTGACGAAAAACTTGGGAGAATGCAAAACTGCATTTTTCCGAGACATTTTACTAGGAAACACCTAATTTGAAAGGCGGGGTATTGTTGATTTTTTGTAACTGAACTGGAATGGATCTTTCTTATTCGGTTCAAACTCAAAGATCACTTACGTATTTTGTTAAAATTAGCTAGTAAAACATGACCTTTAGTCATTGGTTCGAGCAACTTTGTGCGGGTGATCTGAATTACTACTGGAACTATTACTCAAAACTCATTAATTCACTCCTCATTAATCAACCGTTTGTCGCTGCAATAACCTTGAAAAAATTTATGACTGACACTCGTTTGATAATAATTAGCCAAAAATTGAGAAAAGTGAAAACTGCAACAATGGTTTATTTTTGTATTCCAGTAGAAATTCTAAAAAATGAAATTTACTTTTGAAACGAAAAATCGTTGACGTTTTTTCTAGACAGCTGTACTTCATTTGTTTAAACAGCGCAATTTGCCTTTCATAAGAGAAATAAACTGGAAAATAAACCTCCTAAGTATAAGATTGACTATGAAAACTTTTCCTGTGAAAAACCACGGGACTTTCTAAGTAAAACTCACTACGTACTTCCCCATGAACGAAACTGAGTCAATCGACAAAATATACCCGTCCAACACAGATATTTTAATCGCGTTCTAGTCTTCTATTCATTCGGTAAGTTTCATGAGGGTCGATGTACCTTTCCGTTCGACGTCGTCATAAGATGGACGTGTCCCAGCAACGCGAAGGAGCAGGTTGTAAGTCGACTGATATCCTCGTTGTTCGATATCTTCACTGTCTCTCTAATGAATGTCCTGAAACGATCATCCATTCGAAAATTTCCCAACAAATTTCAGAGAATGTTTTTGGCGCCATTGCTGACTTTGGCATCACCTGCATTCCATATATTGGTTTGTGTAGAAAGCATGTAAGCTGCGCAAAAAGTAAGCGGCTGCTTTCAATATTTCGGATCTGAAATTCAAAAAACAATTATCAGTTCAAATTGAAAAGACGCTCATTAACAAACCTGATTAACAACCGCTCATTAACCCAAAACTACTCACGGAGATGGAAAGTTCTTAGGATCAACTGTGGATAAGATCTTTTCAGCCTGAAACATTTAATCGAGTAATAGATAGCTATTAAAATTTCCGTAGATGAAGGTTTTTTTATTTACCGGGGATCCGGCTTTTATTTGTCAAGAGCTGCCGTATTGCGGTTTCTCGAAATTCAAATTTCAATAACAAAATTTCCAAAAGCTCAAAGTACACTAAGAAGAATTGTTAACGCAGTATTAAGGTAGCTGAAAGTGGCTAACCTCGTTTGGTCGCGTACCAGCCCGTAGAAAGATCACAGAAAGGTTCAAGGCTGCAAAAATAACCAGATCTTTGTTGACAGAGGTCTGAAAACAACATTAATGGGTGAAACTCCAACTTCAAAGTTAAACAAAGATAGCCGGCTGCAGGGCAAGTAGCACAGACTCTGACAACAGAAAAAAACTTTGAGCACATTATGATGATTTGGTTTGTTCTGTTATGAGCGGATCTGAACGAAAGCTGAGAAAATAGTTTTTTTTCAAGTTTTCGGTGGTTTTCTTAAGGTTTTTTTGTTGTCAAGGAGGCGCTAAAACAAGCTTCAAAAACTGATATTCCTGGAGTAAAAAATAAGTCTTAATTCCGAGTCATAGGCCTGCTCGCTCGCCTTATTCGCTCGATATTAGACTACACATCTGAACTTCAAAAACCTAAAACTTCAAACCAATTTTTCTCTACACTGCAGAACTTTTTAATAGAGTTCGAATAACGACTGCAGGGGCATTAATATGATATATCAGTCATCTCGTTCCAACGATTGCCGGTGGAACATGATTTTGCATGGAAAATAAAAAATAAAAACTAAAACACCCAAATACAAAGCTCTTTCCAAATTTTAGTGGTCGGACGAAAAACATTTCAAAATGACTAACGGTTAGGACAGACTGGAACTGGGCTTCGGCATTATCCATTATGTTCATAGTCATTGAGTATAGACCCTAAAGCTTCGTAAATCTAAAAACTTTTAGTAAACAACAATTTGTTTGTAGGCTACTTGTTAAACACAAACCATGAGCATATGGATCTGCGGTCCGAATCTTTCGAAGAAACGCTCTATTTTGCTTCCAATTGAAACCACTTGAGCAATCTAAACATTAACTCTTTGGTTAAGAACTTTATTTTATCGAACACGTAAGCTCAATATTTCAGTCAATATGATTAAATTAACAGGGAATTTTAAACTAACCCGATTTAATTAACCCGATTAATCAAATTAGGGTAAAAGGCAAAAAATGACACTTTTGGGCAACAATCGATCGACGTCATGACTGCCAACAAAAAAAACACATTTTATACATACCTTTTTAATAGCCAATTGCTTTTGTCCCATCACCAAGTCACATTGTACCACGCTCTCCATTATCATCACGTGAAGCTTCAGCAACATCTGGTCATGATGAACAACCGACTCCACCGAGGATCCCTGTTGTGGCACGTTCAGTTCATTGGCAGAATTTAAAATCTCAATTTGCATCAATGCTTTCTCTGCGTACTTTTTGGCTTTCTCGAGGGAGCCGCCACACGAATGGTGAATTACAGTTATCTAAAATATTTCGACGTTATTGCTAAAACTGCATACAGTAAAGTTATTTGCAAGTATTCTATCAAATTGCGAGTGTTTTGTAACTGTTATGCTGAATTAAAAACTTGTTCCTTTTGAATGCATCGAGATAGGGGGGGAAGCACAAGAAAAGCTAGATAGATACTAACAAGATATGCCAATATACACATGTGCTCGGATCTCATCCACTGAAATTGCTCTGCCGGATTCTTAGACCTAATACCTGAAAGAAAAATCAAAATTAAAGATAGTGGATGCTAAAACTTCCATTGAGCATCTTCCATTGTGCTAAGTTAAGATACTGCATAAAATGAACAAGGTATAAATTTGTTTTTCCTTCGATTTATTCTACAAGTTTATAAACCTTCATCTACTATATTCAATTTTCGAGTTTCACAGAAAAATTACGCCATCGCAAAGCTTTTTCAATTTCAAAAAGCTTCTGCGATATGCATTTTAAAAAAGAAAAACTAACCGAACTAAAATACGGGACTAATATGTTTCAATTTTTCACATACACTTTAAATTTAATTAAATTCACTCTAAGAAATTGATTTCACTTTAAGACTTAAAAGCAAGAAGAGTTACCACTTTTTTTAATGAAGAGCGTAAATTAAAACTTGAAAGCAGACTACAAATGAAGTGAAGTCACTCTCCAAAATGCGCGTGAACAAATTTTCAGCTAATTCAAGAACCCAATATTAACTGACCCAACACTTCATTAACACACTGGATTGGCAAAAATGGTAGAAATGTCGTACATAGATAACTTGCACTGCAGTGCTCACATTTGGTACCAGTCATATAACGCGCTCAAATCTGTGTTTTCCGCTGATTTTGCATGCAGTTTTGCCACCAGCTTGATTTGCTTCTACTTTCGACATACAATGAATTGACCAGTTAGATTAAATCAAAGATTTACTGAAAAGATACGCGTGTTTTGGGTACAACGGCAAAGTTTACAAACCTTGACAAAAAAAACACTTTAACGATGCCTATTTAGACTATGCATTTTTGGAAACCTGGTCACAGCCAATGCGTCTGAGTTATGATACCACTCTTGAGACCCAACTAGCTTTCCTGGAGGTACCTTGAATGAGACAAAAATCAGCATATGCAAAATTTTCGTACCACTCCCTTGGATATGCAGATAGTTTCTGGTTGACCAAGTATTTTAAAAAGAAAAGTAGCCAAAAAAAATACAGAAAAAAAATAGACAAATAGTCACTAAAAAATTAGTTAAAACACATTTTTATGCAAAAGGTTCAATGAAACAATTCGTCAACACCAAGGCGAAGCTGCACTTCGCAAGCGCAGGCAAAAAAAACAGGAATTAGCCTTAAAAGGGGCAAACACTGAAAAAATTTTGATGAGCTTTGAAAAATAAATGCCCTCTACGGGAAATGAACCTGTCCTCGGACATTCAAGATTTCAAGTTGACAGCTCCTCTCATTTGTGCCACAGACGCTTATTGAATCCAAAGGAAGGTGATTGAATCCAAAAAAGAAGCATAAAAATTCACAAAACCACTTTTGTTATGTAATAAGCAATAATTTAGTAATAAAGTAATAAACTAAAGACAACCACACAAACTTCATTAAATTGAAAATTATTAAACCAAATTGTGTATAGAATATACATTTTACAAATTTCGCAAAATATACTGAGATACTGAGTTTCATTAATAATTAGCTTTAATTTTGAACAATGATCAGATGATTTATTTACTGGTTTGGCTCAATTTCGACCAATCAGACAGCAAACAAATTAATTTTAAAATTTATGGGACATATTTTTATCTCGTGAGTAACTTGCTGGGAGGAAAAAGCAACAAAAATGATAACTTTGGAAAAAAACTCTTTGAATTTCAAGAACATTCATGTTGACACTTTTTTCATAAAAACTTAACAATTAGAGAAAACTAAACTGGGACAGTAGGTAAATTTTAATTCCACTGGGAAACCTAATAATTTAAACCTATTATCAAAACAAAAGCCATTCACTTTGAATTCGGCGAACGTAATTTGCCTTTTTTTTAGCATTTGAATATGAATAGATCTTAAAGAAATCAAAACGAAACCGCGAAAAACGAAATTTCCATGTGGCAAACATTAAAATGTTTTCCTTAATGAAGAAAAAAATCAAAACGACCAAAGCAGGAGTCGGATCTGCTTAACAATCTTCCTCTTTTTATCCTATTTAAGAATCCCCCTTTGCGTGCATTAACATTCAGATAGTTCCAACCAAATTGTGTATAGAATATACATTTTACAAATTTCGCAAAATATACTGAGATACTGAGTTTCATTAATAATTAGCTTTAATTTTGAACAATGATCAGATGATTTATTTACTGGTTTGGCTCAATTTCGACCAATCAGACAGCAAACAAATTAATTTTAAAATTTATGGGACATATTTTTATCTCGTGAGTAACTTGCTGGGAGGAAAAAGCAACAAAAATGATAACTTTGGAAAAAAACTCTTTGAATTTCAAGAACATTCATGTTGACACTTTTTTCATAAAAACTTAACAATTAGAGAAAACTAAACTGGGACAGTAGGTAAATTTTAATTCCACTGGGAAACCTAATAATTTAAACCTATTATCAAAACAAAAGCCATTCACTTTGAATTCGGCGAACGTAATTTGCCTTTTTTTTAGCATTTGAATATGAATAGATCTTAAAGAAATCAAAACGAAACCGCGAAAAACGAAATTTCCATGTGGCAAACATTAAAATGTTTTCCTTAATGAAGAAAAAAATCAAAACGACCAAAGCAGGAGTCGGATCTGCTTAACAATCTTCCTCTTTTTATCCTATTTAAGAATCCCCCTTTGCGTGCATTAACATTCAGATAGTTCCAATTGCAATTATTCTTTTCAAACTTTTGTTACCAATTGACCAATCTTCGTTCCTCGTTATAATAGTCTTTACTTTGCCGTGAATTAATTGTATTTAGTTTTTAAGTTTTTTCGTATATTAAACAAATAATAATTTTCGAATCCGTTAAAAAAGTAGTCAAAGTTCACTTTTTGAAAAACACTGTGACAGAAGGATTTTTAAGTAGATCAAAATTGTGTTCACCAGGTTTATGGAGACTTAATAGCCGGTTATGCACAGATGGCTACAAACACTTTTCTCGGCAGTTTCTGACTTTGACCACAATGTGCTAACCCTTTTCAGTAATGATTCGACCTGCATTAAACAATTACAATTTGTCAATAAGTCGACGATGCAATCAAGTATCTGCTATATCTTTAAACCATCAGCGATAATCAAAGTATCACCTTAAAGTCATTAAAGCATAATAGCAAAAAAGGAAGTAAGAATAAAGTACTGCTCATATGAAGGCAAACACTAAATTTTAAGATTGCCCTTTAAAGCATCTAATCTTGTTTTCTGATTGAACAAAACTGACACTAAAACTAACAAAACTTTCTCTAATTTATTGAACCTTGCCTCCACACGCATTGCCGAGTACAAAATGATAATATATTGTTGTGAACTGGATTATTTCGATATATATGCTATGCGTTAAATAAAATAAAAAAATAATAACTAAGCAAAAAAAAATTCTTCAAATTGCAATTTGTCAATCACCATAGCTTTTCTAAAAATGTTCGTTTTTAATTTGAACAATTTTTTAGACGGTATAAGAAATATTGTACCAAAAAATCAAATTAGGTCTTGAAATCAACGAGCAGATTTATTCGAATAATTACTGCGAACCAATAAAATAAGCAATTATTATTTTTGACTAATCTATGTGCCGAATCAGCACAACCATTCGAGTGTCTACAACAAGTTAATTGTCACTTAAAACAAATCTTGAGCTGGTAAACACCCAGTAGTGGATTTAAGGGGATGGGAGAGAAGCATTTAAACCTCTCAGGATTTCGACCCCTTGGCCATTCAAAGGTTCCCCAGTTTGTAGTATTTTACAAAGAGACGAAGCGGAGCTTCGCTTCACTTGCGATACAATACAAACATTAAAAAAAGCGGCAGTCGAAAAAAGTGTTGAAAAAAACTAGGTGAACTGAACCAAAACATTCGCATGTCTCGATAAAAAACAACTAGGGATCCAGCTAAAGCTAAAAAACACTGAAATGGAAATGGGAGTGCCATCCATTTTGGCGTAGTTATTCCACCTAATGGAGGTAAATGATATGAATTGAAAATTTTTTGAATAACAAGGGCATAAAATTGCAAATTTGAGCCATGCAACAAAAAAGATATTTTATGTTAGTTGGGACGTTGCCAAAAATTATGTCGCACATGAGAAAATCCAAACACGAACCATCTAAATTGGACTGAGTGAGAATCTTAATTGCATCTTGGAGTTGTTTCAAAGTGCCTCTTGTGCTCTTGATCTGAAACAAACGAAATAGTTGCATAGCGCCGCCTTACAAAAATCACGGCACCTGAAAATCAAATTGATATTCCAATCATATAGAACTGACAAGATGAATAATCTACTCTTCATAACAAATTAAGGCGATCAAAACAGCGTAAATTTCAATTTCTCATATCTGCTTTTTCCTCGTTGCAGGACTACTCTTGATTCATGAAACGAAAGAAAAAAGAAAAGGAACATATTAACTGTTTTTGTACATAAGGTCAGCTAGTGTTACCAAGAAACAAAATTTGAAGATATTACTATTTTAAGCCACAAGCATCTATCATCCCTTTCCACAAAATTCAGGGTTTATACTGACCTGGGTAATAAACAGTGTATACATAAATTTCAGATTGCCATAAAGATCACTCTACCGAAGCGCTCATTTGTCGTAAAAACAATTGATTTAACTTTTATCAACTTAATTTTACCCTCACCGTGGGAGACTGTTGCATAAAATCAGAATCAGTCGTTTCATCGCCCAAAATGTCATAAAAGTTGTTGAATCTAACTGCAAGATATCAACCAATTTTACTTACAATCGTTGCATAAAGTTATCGGTAATGCTACAAACGTTATCGGTAATGCTACAAAGTTATCGGTAATGCTACTAACTTTTAAAATTCCTTGCAATAAAAGATAGTGAGCAAAGTGGGGAATTGCATTGCACAAAAATTGATTTCTAACCTTTCCCACCGACAATTTGGCCAGCATATTCAGCATGAGATGGTGCACTTTAATGTGTTGTCCATGGAACTCGTTTTTCGCAGTATCCGCGAACTGATTCACCAAAGCGTCACTCTCGTCGCTTAGGCTTTCCGCCCTCTCCGTTGAGCCTTGTTTCATGAGCAATAATATTCGATGTAATCTCATGAGTAAAAACATGTACTGGGTCCTGATTTTGTCTGCATATTTCTCTGCTGTGACTAACACGTCCATACAGCTGTCTAGTTTATATTTTGAAGCCACTTCTGCTAACGGACACGATAAGCTCTAAGCAAAAACAACAATTAATAACTTACCACAGACTCAAAACCACGCTTCTTATTGCCTGCAATACAAAAAATCTCGAAACGCATACAATTTCGGAGAACAAACATCTACTATCGAATCCTCGATTTTCAATCAAAATTCTTCGCAAATAATCAACACAAGCAGGGGCGGATTTAGGGGGGGGGGGAGGAGGACGCCACCCCCACCCCTCAGGGAATCGACCTCTTGTCGACCCAAAGGGTTCCCCCTTTGTACTATTTTGAGATATCCATATTTGGTGACGGACCCTAAAAATTTTCTAAAGGCGCCTTTGGCGCCAATATATTCTTACTTGAAGGGGGGAGCGCGCGCCAAAAAAACGCAATTGGTCAAAATTTTCTAAAAAGTGCCTAAAAACGTCTTTTTTGTTTGTTCTTCAAAATTTAGCCTGCTGCACAGAAAATTTGACTAAAACACGGTCTTTTTACTGCTTTGGGAGAAAAAGTTTTTGAAAATCCGCCCCCCCCCCCTCGAAAAATTCTAGATCCGCCCCTGAACACAAACAACACTTTTCAATTGAGCGATAATAATTTTAGATGTAAAATTCAATAAAAAACTTAGATGTAAAACTCGATGTCAGGAATTTTTTTTCGTTACTGTCTACTTGATGTTAAGTTGTTGCTAATATCTGACTTTAACTTAACTTCAATAGAAAATCCCACATTTTGCTCTTATAAAACATAAAGCTATCTTATCGAGGTTTAATTACACAGGCAAAGCGGCGCTTCGCAACACTTGCTATACAAAACAGATTTAGTATTGCAAAAAAGCGAATGGAAAACGAGACAAAAAACCATAACACAGAGGTGAAGCTTCGCTACGCAAACACAGGTGAGACCACGACAAATAGCAGCTCTAAAAAGTGCCAATAAGAAAATGTAGAAATAAGCCTCAATTTAGTAAAAATTTCACTACTAGTGTAAGCAAGAGAAAACTAACTGGTGTTTATCATTAACAAAAGGAGATTAAATGGTAGTAAACATGCGGTAAACGAAAAATAGTCCAGCCAACTGAAAAAAAACTGTTCTTATTTGAAGTCGAAATATTCACCCCAATCGCTCTTGAAATCAGGGATAGTAAATTTGAAATAAATAACATAAAGGCTTTTAATAACAGCAAAAGCTGCTGACACCAAAAAAATATCTATGCATTGCAAAGCTCGCTGTGGTTCCTCTGACAAACTTTGGCTTTTCAACTAGCCCTTGTTGACGGAATTTTTCGATAGAAAGACGAAGCTGCACTTTGCGAGAGAAAGCGAGAAAACGGCAAAAGCTCTTATCAGGCAAAAAAATGAACACAGGGGCGAAGCTGAGCTTCACATTAACTGCAATACAAATTTGATGAAAGACGACACGGAAAAATTAGAAAAAAAAGGTTTTTGTCAATAAAAAAATTGTCAAAAATAAAGCGGTCTCAAGCAGTTGTGTAAACTCTACGCTAGATGCGCGAGATAGTTGATTGAATTTATAATTACCATGCGGCACCAAAGCCGAAAATACCTGAGCAGAAACCTTTCAAGCCAAAAAAAATCAAAAACTTCTAAGCTAATTAAAATTTAGTCACTTTTCTCCTTAAAGCACACGCACGCAGATGAACTTTTTTCAATCCCAGAACGACGCAATAAGAGGCCACTGGATTGATATAACTTAAGCCGGAACTTATTAACCCGATAAAAATTACTACAAATGAAAAAAAAATTGTTAAATCGAGGTGGTAAAAAAACAACCAGTATTGAAACAAATTTTGAATTGTCCGGATTTTTAAAATGCTAAAACACTTAAAGCAGTTACAGTGCAAAATGTTTCAAGCAAAAAATACGATTCCTAGATCTGGCACCTAAGTCGAGAAAACATAAGCAGACCAATATCAGGCCGAATTTTTTTTGAACCGAAATAATTACCGTTTGAAAAAAAACAGGTCCTAGTCAGATTCGAACCCGAGAATTTTGCCATCCTAGATATATTCGTAACCTCCAGGCTAAGTGTGCAACAAGCACTATGAACCAAGGTACCACGAGTCCAGATTATCGTGTGGACAAAAGTGTTTACGGGAAAAAAGTCTAGTTAGTGATTGCAATACCCTTGCTTATCGCAAGGGTAAATAAGGATAGAATAGCTAAAACAAACCTTGAGAAAATGAAACTTTAGCTATGCGCCAGATTTGAAGACGAGTCTCATGTCCTAGCAATTGGTCGCTAGAAATTATGCAAACACGGGCTACCAACAAAGGCGATAGAACAGCTGCTATTAAAGTGCCAATGCTAGGCAGCAAAAGTGCCACCAATGAGCATTTCTACTTGCCAGTTGGTTTAAGGGATAAATTGATTTTCAGATAACACTATACATGCTAGCTCGCATGTGTTAGTATATTCTGGCCGTTACTGATGCCCTGAGCTCCAAACAAAAAAGTTCGTCGACTTATGGGGTTTTGAAAATTGACAAATTAGGGACAATTAACGAGCTGTATATCGTTCTAAAATTGTTATTTTGTATGCGACGAATTACTTCGCCTCGTAATAATTGCACCTGGGATTTTGACCAGCTATTTAGTTTTATCAAAACGGTATTAGACGAAAAAATTCTCAATTTGTACTCTGCAGTGTGGGGGAGAATTTTACAAACAAAATATAAACCTAGCCATCAGACAGTTCGAAGTAAACAGAAAAAAAAATAACCAACAGACAGTTAGAAAAGAGTCAATGAACGCAAGTTTAAAAAAATTCTGACTTGTTTTTTGAACTTTCGAATTTCAAAAAAAAACATATGCACCTTACAGCTCTTTGACGCCCTTTGAGAAAACTGAATCAATTATAAAAATTTTATTTCCCTGGGAAATCCAAAATAAAATTCCACTATCGAAACCAGAAGTCGATCACGTTTTGCTCTTCGAAAGTGGAGTCTGCCTTCCTTTCAACGAAGAAAATGGACTGAATTTGACAAGAAATCAAAAGTCAAAACTAACTATTAAATTTGATACTGAACAAATTTTATGACTTTTCCTGAAAAAAATCATCGAGACCTAAATAGTAGTCTGAACTGGGTTCACCGACTCTTAAAAACACTGACTAGTTTTTGTGAAAACGTTTCCATAGATGGCCTCAAACCTCTTTGAACTTATGATTTACATTTTGACAAAAAAAAACCTTTGAGAAAACTGGATCAATAGGTAAATACTTTAATCTGCTTCAATAACTGAAAACTAATATCCACTTTCGAAACAAGAAGCCGATCACGTTTTTCGAGACCTTTACACTTTACCTGTTTGACATAAAGGAGCACGCCTTCCTTTTAATAAAGAAAACACGCTCAATTTAAAATTAAATCAGAAGCCGACCCACGAAAAATCAAATTTGAGTCTGAACAAATTTTGACTTTTCGTGAAAAAAAACATAAGAATTATCAGAACCTACAGAAAAGTCTGAACTACGTCGATCGAGTCTTAAAAACTTTATCATTTTCCAAACAAAAACTATTAAATAAAGAAAACATGGCAGTCGGAACACACAGAATTTGCCCTGACAAATTTTTTGGCTGTAATAACAATTTATGTTCGAAAACTACAAAAAAACTACTTGCGGAAGATCAAGTCTAGAGCAAATTTTATTCAAATATGTAAATTCACTGACCAGGTTAAAGTTTGAAAGCGAGAAGTTTTGTAATATTTGAAAATATGTTTAAAAAATGTTTTGTTCTCGTTCCGCGTCGCTAAAGCAGAAACTTTTCCGCAAAACTTCATACAGGTTAGTCCTGGGTCGTTAATAAGGGTTGGAAAGTGATTCGACATTTTAGGTCGTTAGACACTAGTTATAAAAGGTTAAACGGTGGGGAGTAGAAATTTAAAAAATTTTGATAAATCCAAGGAAAGCCTTGAGGATCACATATTTAGGTGGATGTAAGATTAAGTTATGGATAGAACTTTTAGGTTTCAAGATTATGTGAAAGATTTAAAGATCCAAGGGCAGCCTTGATGATCTGATTAAGGAAATGCTTAGGTTGAAAATAAACAGGGATAGTCCTTTACAAAGTTTTAATTAGAGTTGCATATCTGAAGAAAAGATTAGGATTTTAATTTAAATGAGGTTAGTTATTTAAATTATTGATTCCAATTACTCTTTCAGATGATGAAGAACGATAACAAGAAAAGAAATTCCTCGAGAAGCAAGGAACTTTTAAAATTTTTATAAAACTAATCATAAATAATTTTAACTAACTAATTTTTGTATTTTATTCCTTTACACAGAGGCGAAGTTGCACTTCGCATACACAAGCAAAAGTATGACCGATAACGCTAATGGGAAAAAATGAAAGAGAAAAAAAACTTTGAGTCTACAAAATTTCTTAAGTGACGCACGCCAATTATGGCGCATTAGCAGCAACAGTCAATTTGAAAAAAAAATACTAACTAACATGCCTCAATTTATAGAGCAGCCTATAAAGCAGTAAAAACATGAAAAAATAAATGTTGTAAAAAGAAAATTATGGCAAATAAGCTTGCTTCAACCAAATTGGAACGATTTCTAAAACGGAATAAATCTCCGCTTACGCGTTAATAGTGCGAAATATATCGCGCATTAATTGTTCCAAATTGGCCAAAATGGCAATCTTTAAACCCCCATAACTTCACGAAAAATGATCACAGGTGAAATATCTTTTCAAAATTAAACTCAGGACAACAATACTTTTTGAATGATAAAAAAACCTGTCAAAAATAGCTAGTTAAAAAGTCGAAGTTTCTCTGAACAAAAAACACCCGAGCACAAATATTCCGTTACTTTCGTTACGGAAGTCGGACCAATAATAGTCTGTATTAAAATCCTTAGCATTGGCTGTACTTAGTAGTTAGTTAGTGATCAAAATGAACACTTTCAAAATGAACACATTTTATTGCATCAATATTTGCAACTTAGGTTGGAAATACAGATAGTTCATACTATAACATTAGCATTGCTTGTTTAAATAAATATGAAATTTATAAAGTTTTTAGAAAATTACTGCAGGTTTTTAAGTTTCGAGGTAGATAGTAGGGTTATAGTCGACTGATAATTAAGTACTAATTATATATCGTGGGGGATATATAGCTTCGAAATGAATCTTGCTGCTCATTTATTGCATTTTATACCAATGAGTGAAAGTGTACTGCATTAGGCGTTTATGATCTTGTTTGCCTAAAATTTTTGTTTTGCATAATCTAAACTAGTAGAGGTCTGTTCGAGACTCTTTTGGTCGCACCAGAGTTAAAGTCCGGGGTGGCTTTTTCATAGAGTAATTTGGGATAAGGTACACCGTCTGTTCGTCACGCTATCTTATTTTCGGCCGGATAGGTTCGTGCAGTTTGTTCTTTTCTGGCTGAAACTATAAATAGTTTCAGCCTTACAATTTATTGTAAGTGTTAGTCAGGGATCATGATTGGTAAGTTCTACGTATTTTAAAGAGATAATCTATTAATAATATAATTGGTTTATAAATAATTGTTTTAAACTGGTTCCACATTGCCAACATAATATTTCCAAGTTAAAATAGTAAATAAATAAAGTAAATAATTAAATTAAAATCAAGAAATACGCAAGAAACAATTTTTCAAGAATCTTTTATACAGCATATCATAATGAAACATTCCCACTTGTTTCTTTCAACGCCCCAGTTTAATCAACTTAACTCACATCTTTAAAAAGTATATTCAAGTTAAATTTGGCACCGTTTATATGAAACCATGGAGATGTTATTTTCATATTATGAGCTCTCCTTTCTTAGGATTCGAATAATTTAGTTGAAAAGCATGACGGTCATAACTTACAACTATTCGAAGAACTAATCTGAAAAACCATCTGGGGTTGCACTGAGCTACTGAGACGCTATTGGTCAAGATTTCCACTGCGGTCAATACATTGCCCTATAATGAAATCATTTTGAACAGAAACATTAATCGAATCACAATAAAAAACTCATTTCAAAAACTTCACTTCAACTAAAAAATGGTTTTTAGAAAACCATTCACCTTTTGGACATGGACAACATGTGATTTCCATGAGGCAAGAAGACAATTATCTGCCAAGCAGGGATCCTAAACATAGATTGCTCGCTATTATGTTTATGAGAAAAGCTGATTTAGATGTCGGAAGTATATATATACCTGGCCAGGCTCATTTTGGACTTTCATCGCCAGTTCAATCTAAACAATGAGGCTCTCAAGTATAACAATAAAACTAGATCAATTTTTAAAGCGCGAAGATTAAGTAAAATTCCTAAAAATCAGAAAACTACTGCTTAATCATACACGAATACAGCGCCCACATCTTCTCTCTGTGGCAAATGGGGAGGATAAAATATAACACGTTTCATTATTCATACTGAATAATGAACTTACGCAATAATTACAGTGCTCCAGCACTAAGTTCGAATTCGAAGTGTGTTTCTGGAGAACATCTGCCATCTTGAGGTGTGTGTAACTGAGCAATGGTGCCACGTGAACAGATGAGGCCTGCAGTTTGTTCAGTTCCATTATCAGCGCCCGATAGAGGTTCACAATAGTAGTGGTGTTGTGGGCAGGGTCCAAGGCAGATACTGCCAAGTGCACTTGAGCACACAGCTTCACCGGATCCATGGAGCTCATGCCAATTCCACTCAATATTTGAGAGTATATTATTTTTTATTGACAATTCCGATCAGTAATAAAGCTGATTCCTGAATAAAACACAACTCTATACTAAGTCAAGCTGTCGACAAAATTCATTAGACAATTGCATGGCATGACGTACCTGAAACATGAATGCATTAGTTCAGTTGATTGCTTCTCAAAATTGTGACTTTTTGATCTTATCGTTCTTTGCGGTAACCAAGCAAAACTCGGTAGTTTCTTCCATTCTAAAGATTAATTTGACTCAATTTGGGAGCGGAAGATAGCGGTTATCTTTTTCAAACCACATAGGGCAGGGTAGGTGTAGCTTAGATTAACTATTTTTCTCCTGAGTCGAAAATTAACTCAATCAAGTCTTTTTGTTAAGCATTGGCTGGCATTAATTGAAGGAAATGTGAGACTTCCCAGCTTAGGGAAGATTGAAAGCGGAAGCTAACAGATTAAAAAATCAGTTAGTCGTCAATCAGCGATAGGAAATCCCGAATTCAAAAAGAAAAAGCAATTTCAAATTTCACAACTTTGAAAATGTCTCAAATATAAACCGTTATATAACAGTCCGTTCATCAATCAAGCAAATGCACTTCATTCTCTTTTATATAAGAACAGAAACTGTTTGTTGTTTCATGACATTTTTGATTGCAAAACTGCTTTCAGAAAATTATTTGAATAGGTTTAGAAAATACGATCTCTGAGCAGTTTGAAGAATAGTATGTTGTTGGCCATTAGACCCAATTAAATGATGACATTTAAGCTAGAAAATATAAAGGAAGGCATCAATTGATCGCTCTATTCCCAGCTCTATTCACGATCGATCAGCAAATTTTCTCAATTTTTTTCGACAAAACAATTGTTGAGGCTTTTCAACAAACTTCGGTGAAAATTTTCTTCCAAAATACTGGGTGTAATAAGTTGTAGAACTTATTATTAAGTCTGAAGTCATCAGGGGTTAAACAATGTCTCAGCTAAGCAAGGTTTGTTAATTTTTGCTCGCTCTTCAACTGCCTTTATTCGTTTTTTTCCACAAAAGCTTCTTTTGCTATTTTTCTAACACTGCGTAAAGCGTTGCGTGGAGCCTCACGTCAATTAAAAAACTAAAAGTCTCCTAAATTTTAATAAAAGTTGGTTTAAGTGATGTGCGATGCATTTAAAACATCAATGCATTGATTCAATTCTAGAAAAACGAAAACAAATGCAGTGGAAATTTTATTTCTTCCACAGGGATTTTAGCATTTGTCAACTGAAAAGATGTGCTGAAATTGGTCGATTTTTAACATTTATTTACAGAAAAAAGGTAAAATTTACACCTTTATTTTTTTTTGGTTGCAGACGCTGCTCGACAAAATTTTGAGGTTCTCATATTTGCTCCACGACCGCTTGTTATTTTACTAACAATAGCCACCAAAAAAGCAGCAAAAATTCGAGCAAAAAAACTATTTCAATGTTCCGGATTTGAATCTCCGACCTGATGATTAGGAGTTTTACTAACTTCCTCGCATGGACTTTACGCAAAACCCTAGCAATTTCTCTGCTTAAGTAGGAGATAAGCTGTTAATTTAATGGCGAAAAAGTACTATTCTCTCTCTCAAATGAAATCTTTATCTCAGTTTTGGAAAGCAAAAAAAAAGATTCCTAAAAACGATCAAAAATCAAAAAAATTTGACTTCCTTTAAATCAATAAATACTTTAATCTAAATAAAAATAAAACATAAGAATCGCCTCATACGCAGAGAAAAGGTAAAAATTTTAGTAAGAAAATGGATTTTCCCGAAGTTCATATCAACTTTTCTACAGAAAAATAGGATAAAACAGATTACGCATGGAAAATCTAGGCAACATGTTCGTTTGAACGAACTATCAACCTCAGAATTAGCAGGTTAAATTTTGAAATAAAAAGTTTCCAAAAAAAAACGGGCAAAATTTCAAAAATTGGACATTTTCTAGGGCCATATTTCTTTCAAAATGCAGGGCATGCCGCTTGGAAAAATGAGATAACTGATATTTTTGCTTTCGGTTAAACCTTTAATCTCCAATTAGGCACTGTAGTTTTTGAGAAACTTTCTAAAAATTAATCAATTTGTCTAAAAATGGGCTTGTTTGATGCCATAACTTTTTTGCTAACGAAACTAGAGAACAACCGCTTGAGAAGGGGAGATCCCCATATTTTATTCTTTTCTTCTCAAATTTGTGAATTTAATATTTCAGAAACAGAAAAAACTTAAAACAAATAGGTCAAAAATCCCCCTGCTGAAACTTTCGAAGGCCGTAGAGTGTTAGGTAAAAATGAAAAGAGACTAGCAAAACATGCAGACACATAGAAGAGCAGCCGGTTTGTCTATTGGTACACTTTTTTGAAAAACGACAGGTTAGTTTTTGAGAAAAACTGAAAATTCGCCAAATGAGCACTTTTATTAGCGACTTCGACGAAAAAAATTCTTCGTAATAATACACTACGTTTCGATTGTGTAAGAAAGGAAGTATATGAGTGAGACCAGGGTGCAAGAGGTGATCCTGTAAACTAAGTTACTTACGAAAAAAAGTCTAGTACCCGATTGACATACCCTTGCTTATCGCAAGGATAATCATAATATTAATGATCATAATGATAATAATCATAATGATAATTATAATAATGATAATAAAAATCATAATACTTGTGGTTTCTGCAATTCGCAGAGGATATATGAAAGGCTATCCAGCCTATCTAAACATATTTCGTTTCTCTTATTAACACAGAAGCGAAGCTACGCTCCGCAAGTGAGATAACGACAAAAAGCAGCTCTACAAAGTGAAAAACAGGTAGAAATAAGCAAAGAATTATTTAAAATTTCTGTTTTCTCCTGGATTCGAACCAGAGACTTCGAAATTTAGCGTCTCATGTCATTCCCTCACAGCCACGTACCATTGCTTACGGACAAACACTAGCCACCAATAGCAGTCCATGTGTGCTACATGAGCAGCGATCGATTTCTCTAGTTGATCTTTATGTTTTCAAGAAGTAAAATACATGCCTTTTTCCACAAAAAAAAATTTTTTTGCTTCTGAAAAGGCGCAGAAGGCTCCAATCAAAATTTTTATAGCAAAAGAAATTCCAAAATGTTCAAACACGAGTTTTCTTTGGGGCACCTAAAACCTCGCGAAAAATGGCCCATGCCCTTCCATGAGAGTGGTCGGTATCAAACTGAACAACTCGATATACCAAACTGAATGTCAGTTTTTACCAATTACTTAAAGTCATTTCTATGCTCGAGGTAGTTTTTTCAGACACCTTTTCGGTTATCCAAATAAGAGTATGTGATGGAAATGTTTCTATCATATTCAATACGTTGAAGCCCGAAATCATAATTCGCCAATACAAGAGGAAAAACAACAAAAAACAAGATCAACACATACAAAAAAAGAGAAAAATACAAGAAATTAATAAGATCACGTTCAAATAGACCTGATACCACGAAGATTAGAACCCGGATCTCCAGTCATTCATCTCAGCCACATGGCCATGGCGCACTAATTTTAACTAATATAACCCATAATTAATGGCATATACCAATTCGTGCATAAACTTGGCTCAAAAAGGTGCAAATCTGGTCGAAAAAAGACAGACCGAGTAACATAACGCTTTCAAGCGAGCTTGGGTTGGAAAACTTCTCAGTTCATTTTTATGGGGTCACAAAAATGCCTTTTTTGATTAAATTGCCATCAAATTATCATTCTTTTTTGGATCTGTTGCCAGCCGTACCCATTGCAGGGCCTTCCTGAAGGATGGAGTGCCATCCATTTCGCACTGCCCGTTCCCACCTCGAATAGGTGGAAGACATTGGGAACCCTCCGACTGAAACCGAAGTGGAATTCGAACCCACGATCCGCGTGTTAAGAGCCGTGCGCTAGGCTAAGGCCGGTCTATCTATTATGATAAACACTCGTAAGCGCGAAGTTTTTTGGCTCGGTGAACGAATCTTAAATCAAACGCTTTCAAGTTTTAATTCCAAATAGAATGAATAAATTGCCTTAGGCAGTTGGATTGCAGAGGACAAAAAAATTAAAAGGTATTTTATGTTTGTTAGATTCATTTTCTATATCAATGATCTATATCAATGTTTGCTTAATAGTTTTACCTAATTTGATCCTGCACATAAATACAAATGACAGAAAGGCAAGCGGCTGGTGTGGAAGAAGCACAATGTTCCGACCACACTCATGTGGAAAAAAAAACTCTTTCAAAAGCGCGTCTTTTTTTGCACGTGGTGCGATGAGAGCAACTAGACAAAAGCTTAAAACGTGAGAGTAAATTTGACGTAATCGACAGCATTAGTCTTCGACAAATGAACAAAAAAAAACAGCCAAAAAAAAGAGAAAAGATGATGGAAACTTTGAACACGTTCGAATACCACGATGAAGCTCTCTAAATTTAAGAATGAAGTACAATTAACAATTTCCTACTAAAACTAGCCAAATTAGAACAACTAAATCAAGAGTCAATTTTTCATTCCGCTGAAAAATCTGAAACAAAACATTTTCGAACAAAATCATTCACAATTTAAGCGCCATTTCCGCTTTCCTATTAAAACAGCGTTATTTACCTTCCTACTAACAAAAACCTTTTAATTAACTTAAACAGAAAATCAAAAGTCAAACTGCCAAAAATTAAATTCGAGCGAGACCAAACTTGACTTTTTCCTGAACAAAAAAAAACGACAAAAAACCTTACGACCAATAGAAGCGTCCTTAATACGCTCATTGACACTTATTTATTCGGAAATTAGTTTTCCTGAAAAAAAAATTAAGTTTTTCAAGATATAAGTAAAGCTATTCCTACTAGCTTTACCAGCTCGAAATTGACCAAAAAAAAAACAAACTGGTTTTTCTCGACACCAAGAAACTTCTTAAAAGACTTATGACCCTCGAATCAGGACTGAAAAGCCTTTAAATGGTTTATCACTTCACATGTTCCGATGAACAATTGTCGTAGCCGATTTTGAGTGGAAATAGCAAAAGAAATACTTGGAAATACTGAAACATACCCAAAGGCAAAATTCATCCCCCATTTCATCTCGTTCGGACAACTGCGGTGCTCTTAAATAAAAAAAACTCTTGTTTTTTACGTTTTTGACCTTTAAGAAAAACTTAACAGTTTTGAATAATGAAGCGAAAAAAAATTCTGAGAACAAAATCAAAAAAATCTTCTTTGCTTAAGATTAGTCTGAGAAGCACTATTTTCAGACCAATTTTTCTCAAGCCAGAATTTTAAATTTTCAAATTACTTTTCCTAATTTCAAAATTTTAGCGTATTCCAAATCCAATTAAGAAACTGTAGATGATCAAGTAGATGTGCAAGCATCATAGAAAGATCGGTTACGTAGCAAAAGTATTGAGAACAACAGAACTGAGATAAAAAAACAAACGTAGGAAAAAATTTACTTTCTCGATTATTCTTTATGATACTTCGTCTAATTTATGACTTTCTAGTTTTTGACCACACACCGAAAAACCACTGTTATTAGAAAACTATGAGAAGGAAAACCGTTAGATTAGGATTACCTATAAAACGCAGAGGCAAAGCAACGCTTCGCAAACACAAGCGAGAAAACACTCAAAATTAGCTGTTAAACAGGAAATAAAAAAAAACCAAATATAAAAATAAGGCTCGTTAAATTATAAATTTTTGATGTAGCGGAATCGGACTTTACATAAACTTTAAAAAAATTTGAGATAAATTGAGTTGGAAAAAATCTGATGGGCAGTTTTTTTATTGAGTGGTTTCAAAGAAATCGAAACTTATTACTAATCGGAATTCAAAGCACATGCTATCAAAAAATCGTAAAGGTCCCACCAAAGTGGAATCAATATTTATGAATATATTTTTAAAAAAATAGTCTTGCTATTACACGACTCATGAAGATGATGAATATTGACGCCGTTTAAGCGATGAAACTTTGATATATTTCAAATGGTTTCTTAGGCCGAATCCTTTTGAGAAAAGTTAGTTTTCTTATGCAAACTATAAGCGATTAAAGTTTGAAATGTTTCAAAAAATACAAGCAATTAACGCACCTTTTGTGCTTCGAAATTTTTCGACAACTCATGAAAAAAACCGCATATATTGGAAACAACATCTGCAAACTTTTAGTGTACTCTGACTGCACCCAATTACAGGGTTGGTAATTTCTAACTTTTTAAATTTTTTTGAAATTCCCATTATGAAAGCGTCATCTCAAAAACTTAATGGGCCTCTGGAGAAATTGGGAAGCCAGATTTGCAACCACTGAGAGTCCCTGAGAGCTCCCTACTATAGGGTTAGGAATCCAAAATTTTGTGAATTTTTTTTAACCTAAGATTCCCGAAAAAAAAAATTGAAAAAAAACGTCTTATCTTGGAAACTAAACGGATCTGAGCATTCATATTAAGAGGCAAGATTTGAGACGCCTGAGTGTACGCTGACAATAAGGTTGTATCTTCATCAAGTTAGTAGTTTCAAACTTTTTGAATTTCTTTGTAGATAGGTTCTTTGAGAAATTTTGAAAAAATCGAAAAACGTCACATCTCGGAAACTAAAAGCATTTGAGCATTCGCGTTTAGCAGTCGCATGTGGCAAGATTTGCAACTCTTTAGAGTACCCTGACAAAACCGAACTATAGAGTTGGGAATTTCAAATTTTGAAAAATAATTAACTTATACTTTCTGAAAATTTTGAAAAAATCACAAAAAACGTCACATCTCAAAAACTACAAAGAATTGAGCAGTGATATTTGGAGGCAAGATTCGCAATCTTTGAGAGTACTCCGACAGGACCTAACTGCAGGGTTGGGAATTTCAGATTTTCAAAAACTAATAAAAATTAAGTTTTCTGAAAAATTTTGAAAAAATCACAAACAACGTCATATCTCGAAAACTACAAAGAATTGAGCAGTCAAATTTGGAGGTAAGATTTGCAATCTTTGAGAGTACTCTGAAAGGACTTAACTACAGGGTTGGGAATTTCAGATTTTTAAAGCAAAAAAATAATTCAAGTTTTCTGAAAAATTTTGAAAAAAATCGCAAAAAACGTCATATCACGAAAACTACAAAGAATTGAGCAGTCATACTTGGAGGCAAGATTCGCAATCTTTGAGAGTACTCTGACAGGACCTAACTACAGGGTTGGGAATTTCAGATTTTTAAAAACTAATCATAATTTAAGTTTTCAGAAAAATTTTGAAAAAATCACAAAAAACGTCATATCACGAAAACTACAAAGAATTGAGCAGTCATATTTGGAGGCAAGATTCGCAATCTTTGAGATTACTCTGACAGGACCCAACTACAGGGTTGGTAATTTCAGATTTTGTGAAAAAAAATTAATATAAGTTTTCTGAAAATTTTTGAAAAAATCACAAAAAACGTCATATCTCGATAACTACAAGGATTTGAACAGTCGTATTTGGAGGCAAGATTTGTAACTCCTTAGAGTACTGCGACAGCGCCCAACTACAGGGTTGGGAACTTCAAGTTTTGTAAATTATTTTGTTATTTGAAACTTCTGAAAATTTTTGAAAAAATCTCAAAAATCGTCTTATCTCGTTAACTAAAATGATTCGGGCATTCAAAATTGGAGGCCAAATTCGCAACCCCTAATTCGATATTGGGCTGCTTAACTTAAACTCGGTAAAATAACCACTAATATCAAATTGGAAAATCTAAAAAAATTCTTAACCATTGCAATATACGATATAGCTTAAACATGCAAAAATAATACGTTGAAAAAGCTTAAACATGGCGAGATAGTGAAGCCCGCATTTAAATATATAATAGATATATAAAGCGAGTCAAACTATTAAGTATTTCAAGCCATTTTATATTTCAATTTATTTCATAGACCGAAGCGGTTTACGAAAAATTTAAGTTTTTCGAACCAAGCTATTCAAGCCATGAATTATTTCATAAAGCGAATTGTATTGTTAAAAGTTAGTTTTCCGTATTGCTAAAATGTATCTGTAACCGCAAAATTTTGGAAAGAAATGGACAGGTACTGTCTAGCCTTGGAGTTGAATCGAGTTAATTTTGTTGAAAATTATTTGGCAAAATTTTGGAATATTTCAGACTTTAGAATGTTCAAAAGATCTGAAGCATCAATTTGATTTTGACTGAAAAAATTTGGAATAATTTTCTTAATTGTTGAGCATGACAGTAACATTAAGCTCTGAATAAATCCTTTCCAGTAGATCAAATTCAGCTGATTTTCCTGTTAAAAACATAAACAATAATATTTCAAAAATAAGCACATTTAGGTTTAATGCGTAGATAAGAGAATATACATAATCGAACACGACAAAGAGCAAAAATTTTTTTCTCGTTTCAAATGATCTCATCTTCGTTGTATTTCATTTTCAAACCATGATAGGACAAGGATTGACTCTGTGGGCCGTCGAATTGTTTGCCAGTTATCTTCGCGGCTTCGTTGGTAGTTTTTGTTCCCATGTTATTACCAACATCTCCATCATCGTTTTGATCCCCTTTGTCTAGATTATTCTGGTTACTATGCGAACTCATTGAGGGTGCTGTAGTTGGATCACAGGAGCAGAATAGAAAAATGAGACATCTGATTGGTTCACAGATTAACGAATCGGCTATACATGCACACGAACATCGAGCACAGTCGACACTGAGAAGTGCGTAGAGAAAAGGATTCAGAGCTGCATTGACATAGGTCAGAATTATCGAGAAATGGAGGAAGGACCGCGGGAACTCGTATATTTCAAACGTGCTTCCCAGATTGCAACACCAAAATGGCAAATGAAGGATCCAAAACGCTAACACTACATAGGTCAGAAAGCGCATCATATTCACATGTCGACTTGTCTCATCCGAACTATTAGCCGACATCGAAATCGCCGATCGGGTTTTGCTTATAATTCGCGAGTAGAGAAATGTCACTGCGATTCCTGGAATGACGTAACTGGATACAAACGTGAGCAAATTGTAGAATGTTTGAAAGTCGTATGGCATTTCCGAATCACATTTCACAAATTCCGAATCAAAGGTCGAGTAATACGCCATTGGCGATGCAATAATAAATGGTATAATCCACAAAATGAGAAGAGTTAGATTGAGAAATTTTGGTTTTGAGAAAAATTGGCCGAGAGAATGGGGACCAACTTGAACGGGAAATAGTTTGCTATACCTATAGAAAGCAATAAGCACGATTGTATAACAGGAAACATGCAGTAATGCAATGTCAGTAGTGAAAATAATTTTACATGACACGACACTTACTAGTCGGAACACTCTTTTGAACTTGAGGTAAAACCCAGTTATCAACAGCATCAAGTCTGCACTGATCATATTGACGATAAAACGTCTAATGATTGGGGTATTCCAAAAAATAATGAGAGCTATGAAAAATGCGAGTAAATTGATGACGAGACCCGATATAAAGAAAAACATTAAAATCACGTCACCAAAATCCATTTCTTCGGCTAACTCCGACCTATTTGAGTCTTGGGTAGAGGATGAAGCCATGTCTAGTATGACTTCGTCAGTTGATGCACCGTGCGGGGATGTTTTAGGGGTTCTAAGGAAGGATTTTGAGCCGGGCATGGCAAATTTAGATAAGGGGTCGAGCTGCGTTTTTATCTGACGGGTTTGACGCAGTGCAGCAGATTGCAGGCCACAGCAGAGAGGGTTTATAGTAATAACTGACAGCAATATAAGGGGTAAAAAAGAAGAATGTTCCGGCAAATACACCATTATTCACAGATCAAACCTGGCACACTTTAACTCAAAGTGAAAAGTGTGCCTTCAAAAGACAAAAAGAACATATGCCAAATGCGTTTTAAAACAAGCTCCACGGCAAAATTTATAAATAAAAACAGAATAATCAAAGCAAAAATGGGCCCAGAGCCACAATTGGCTGATTTTGATTGAAAAAGTAAGTCTAAAAAGAATTGTATATCCGCTCATTTTCATGATGGCAGCAGCATTTGTGTTACAAGGAAGAGCCGATAACTATTAGCTGATTACTTCCGCTATTACCACAATACCATACAGTATGCACTTATCCGTCTATAATACTTCAATTAAAGCTCGGAATTAGAAGAAAAAACATTATTTAAACTCTCGAAACGGCAAAAAAGTAATGATACATATGTCTATAGTAATCTTACTATTCCCGTTCCGCAAAAACCACCTTAGTATTTGTGGGGTTTGTCCAAACGGTAAAAAAAACCGGATGCAAAATGAGAAGCCATTATTCATCTGACAGAAACTACTGAGTTTTATTGATGTAACTCATGAAAAGCTTGAAGCTACAATAAGTTGAAATACCGATAATTATATTTTCAGTACGTAACATATGCTTGTACGTCAAGAAATTTAGGTCTTTCAAGGTTAAAAAAATTGACTAAAATTGTTGATAACACAGAGGCGAAGCAGAGCTTCGCATCACGTGCGATACAACACAGACATAGCCAACTGACAGTTGGAAAATCAATGACTTTGTTGAAAAAATCTCAACTTTCGAATTTCAAAAAAATAGACGCCCTTTGAGCTTTTTGAATTTCTAGAACAGTTTATGATTGGCGCCTTTTTGATAACATTAACTCAATTTGAGAAAACTGGATCAATAGGTAGTTTTTATTCCGCTGGAAATCTATGAAAAAAAATTATGTTCCACTTTTGAAACTAGAAATTGTTAATGTTTATTCGCGCCATTTCCACGCTTGTATGGAAATGGTCTGTGAATAATGGGTCTTTTGATCTGTGAATAATGGTGTATGCCCAATTAATCCCATCTAATTGAGCATAATTTTACAGCGGATGACAAATTGAATCTTTGAATTCTGAGGAAGAAAGGGCCTCCTTGTAAATTCTGATTCCATTCTTCACAATTTGGTAGCAAGATAGGACTATTAGGACATCGATGAAAAACTTTAATTCAGAAAAAAAGACGAAGCAAAAAATTGAGGAAAAAAACAAATCAACAATTCCATATCAGTTATTGGGATTTTTGAAATCGCTGTTCTTTATAATTTGTTAAATCAGAGAAAACCCATATATTGCAAAATCGCCTTTGTCGCATTAATATATGAATTCTCAAAAAAAGTCACTTATATTGTTTTCAGGATAAAACTATCCTAAGAGATTTTTTGAGCTATATTTCATCGGTGAAAATGATAACTGAACTCCACCAGTCAAAACGTTTTTAAACTATCAACAAGGATAGCCGATTGTTGTGTTAGTACTACAAAAATTTTACGACCATATTAATAAAAAACTTTGAAAAAATTTTTCATGTTAGTTTTTCAAATTAATGTTGTTTTTTGTTTTGTTTTGTGCGAGGTGTGATGAAAGGATCTGACAAAAACTTAAATTTAGGCTGATTCAACAATCACAGTAAACTAAGCAAATCGCGCGACGGCTTTTGTCGAAAAAATGACTTTAGAAACAAAACAAAGATCAAAACGATCAAAAACTTTTGTTTTTTGACTTTTTGGCGCAGAAAACCTTGAAAAGAGTTTCACAGGAAAAAACTTAATTTCATGGCGTATCCTTCTAGTATAATTCTGCTCGCTAGCTTTATTTGCTCGAAATTAGATTAGAATTGAAAAATTCAAATCGGTTTTTCTCGACACAATGACAATTTTTTGAAAATTTTCAACTTCATTCGAATCAAGATTGGAAGGGCTTTAATATGATAAATCAATTCACCCATAACGATTGATCTTTATGGTGAAGCTTTTTGATTGAAAAGGAAAATAAGCCTGCTCGCTCTGTTAATTGCTCGAAATAAGACTAAAAAATCAAAAATTTTCATGGTTTTTCTCGACAGAAAAAAATTGAAGATTTTTAATGTCGTTCGAATAACTGAAAGAGCTTTAATATGAAATCTCAATCGACCCATTCCGATTATTATTTGTAATACTTGATTTTGCGTGGAAAACCAAAAAAAAACTAAAACTCACCCGAACACAAAGTTCCTCACAAAATTCAATGGTTGGAACAAATATAATGACAAAGCCAACATACAGTTGAAATATTCTAAATAAGCCCACGACAGCCGAAAAACCGCCAAATTACTTGTGAAAAAATTTCAAGAAAGAGCACAGAGGGAACGCTGAGCTTCGCACAACTAGCGATACCAAACAAGAAAGCCGCTAAGTCGAAAAAAAATCGAAAAGAAAATGTCAGAAAAAAACTAGATCTTTTAAATTGAATAAGGATAATTTTGAAACAAACCAAAACAATAGAATGCAAAATTATCATCGAAAAATTTTTTCCGAGCGGTAACATAGCCGAAATTCTTCAAGCAGAAAAACTCAACAAAGCTTATACAAGTTTAATAAGCCCCCTTCACGCTCAACACCAACTTTATTCGCTCAAACTATATCAAATAAAGCCATTAAACCGATATTAAAAAAAAACAGAACCTATTAAGCTGAAAAAAAAGGAAAATGAAAAAGCCGAAAAAAATCAACAAAATTTATGACTCATAAAAAGTTATAAAGTCCCCCTCGCCCTCATAACAAAAAATACTTTTTTTGCTTGTCAAACGACGCAAAATGAGGCGACTAAGCCGATATAATATTGGCCGCAGCTCATTGAGCCGAAAAAAAATCTAAAAATTTCAAGTTATTAGTCCCTCTCGCCCTCATAACACTTTTTGGGCGCCAAAGAACGCAATATGAGGCCACTAAGCTGATATAAAGGCCGAAACCTATCAAGCCAAAAAAAAGAAATTTCAACAAATCGAGTTGAATTTCAAGTTACATCTAAAGCAACCGATCAAAAAGTTCCTTTACAGTTTAAGTTCGGCTGGTATGAATGAAGAGAGAACAATTGGCGAGTTTGTTTCTGCGACACGACTTGACTTCCACAAATTTTTTTTTTAATATTAAAGAAAAATAAGCATGAAATAATTAAAAATAAATCAGTTTATTTAAAATTCGTCTTTGTTTGACAAATGAAACGAACTGAACTTAAAAAAAGTCAACCCGCGAAAAAGTCATTTTGAGCCCGACCAAATTTTCAGACTTTTTCTGAAATAAAAACGGAAAAAAATTATCGAGACCTATATAAGAGTCTGAACTACGTTCGTCGACTCTTGATAAAAAAAACCAACACAGTTGAAAAAATTTCAGAAAACTCAACCAAAAGCGAAAGACAACCAAAAAACTACTGTTTTTTGGAGAATTTTTATATGCACGGCATTTTTGAGAAAAATGGATCAAAAGGTAAATAGCTTCATTCGCAAGACAAATTAAACATTCAATGGACAGTTGAAGTTAAAGTTAACAAGAAAAAAATGAATTTCGAATTTAAAAATAAATCACGTCAACATTCTGTAAATCTTCAGAACTTTCTGGTTAAGACTTTTTTTTTCCCTAAAATTAGCCCGATAAAAGAAAGCTGGACCAAAAGTTTATTTTTTAATTCGGTTTGGAAATCTAAAAATTATTATCCAATTTGGAAACAAAAATTTAATCAATTTTTTTGGCCATCTGCATTTTCGTATTTTGAAAAGTTGTCTTCGGCTTAGCCAATTAATTCGAATTGAACTTCAAGTCAAACCGCGTTACTTGTTGACAATTAATCACCAAGTTCTTGAAGGAAAGAAACCTGGTTTTATGTATGTTACATATTCGATTGGAAACAGTGTGCATACAAAATCGCCAGAACTACAGCCGGTGGCAGGCGAAATTTTGGATTGGTTGCATTACTTCCTCGTGCTTTTTAACCCGCAGTCTTACCCAATGCAGGACCAAACGTATGGAAATAATTTCACCGTAGCCGGTATTTATTAGAGGTGGCGGATGACACTTCCTTTTTGTGCGAACTTTTCCCGAAAACGCGCGGAAGCATTATGCTGTGTTCTTTGATCACCATAAGATTGATCATTTGAAAAACCAACATAAAAGATTGAGAAACAAATATTAGATCATTGGAAATTGCCGTCGGCGCATGTTAAGATGAATAATCTATAAAAATCGTCTTCGATTCTACAAATTTTCGAGAAAATGTGTCCCCTGAAACCTATAGAAAAGTCCCCACATCTGAAAAATTAAATTAAAACTGTGAATATCTTATAGCAATATTGTAAGTTTAAGCTCGAAAGTCTTATTCATTTCAGCAATCCAATGAATGCAAAATGATGAGACTTAAGTTACGAAACGTTTTCCCACTCATATTGACCGAGTCGATTCATTTTTAGATTAACACAGATTGATGAATCCGAAGATCTTCGGTTTCAAGAATTTTAAATCCGTGAAATTGACCGGTATATGTCGAATTAATTTCACCAACGAGCTCAAAAAAAACCTGCAGACAAAACAATGACATTCTATACTAATTGAATCAATAGGTTTAAAGCGGGGTTTTGAAATAGCAGTAAAAGTCCAAGAGGCCGAGTATCCATCAATAAAGAATAAGTGGGAAAATCTAATTAGGCGTCTCCTTTTCAGAAGGGATTTTCTGAGCAGTACAATTGAAGTGGTAATATTACCTATATTAAATCAAAATGAACTCAGCAAGCAACAAAAAATACGAAGCATGATTATGCCTAGCTTAATCTAAATGCCTAGCTATGCCTACACTTAATCTAATCTGGGCCTAGGTTTGTGTGAGAGAAGATTTGTTGTGAAATAGACTCTTTGCTAACTGCAAAACAACTTCCAATAAGTAAGAACAAGCATTGAAAAAACAAGGCAGATCAGCAGAAAACTGATCAAATCAACATTTTATAACTGTACTGCAAGGCATCATCATCTGATGAGTGGAATAATTAAATCAGCTTTTCAAATTCTCTTTCAGAGAGCCCTTCAGAATATACTTTTGGAAGTCAAGTCTGCATTCGTCCATTGATCAAAACAACACAACCAGGAGTAACAAAAAATTCCCGACTTCTATTTAAAATCCAGTCAGACATTCTGTTTCATGGCGAAAAGAAAAGCGATAAAATATGCTAAAACTTCTTGTGGAATCCACGGCCACCGCCTCCTCCTCCTCCTCCACGTCCGCGATCTCCGAAACCACCTCGGCCTCTGTTATTAAATCCTCCGCCTCGACCTCTATCGCCACCCCTGAAGTTTCCCCTTCCTCGGTCACCTCCTCTGAAGTTTCCTCTATCACCGCCACGCCCTCGAGGAGAATGAGAAAACCTTCCTCGGTCACCCCCTCGGTACCCACCACCACCATTGCCTCTAAATCCTCCGCCACCATTTCCTCGGAACCCACCGCCACCTCGATTGTAGCCGCGGCCTCTGTCAAATCCACCACGACCACCGCCTCGCCCACGGAAGCTGCTGTTCCCTTGTTTATCGTCATCGGAATCCACTTCGTCATATATTCTCTTTCTCTTCTCAAACTTGGGATGAGGGGTTGGTTTCTGGTTGGATTTGAAGGCTGTAGGTTCTTCTTCGCCATCATCATCCTCTTCGTCTTCATCTAACTCGTCGTCATCATCTTCTTCATCGTCGTCATCTTCTTCGTCGTCTTCATCCGCAGCAGCTGGCTTCATAGCTTTCTTGGGTCTGAAATGAGAGGAATTGCTAAAACTTAGTGCCATAAGCTTTTCACATGATTCCTGCATGGTAATCATCAATAATAGCAAATATGCTGCATAATTATCAGCATCTACAGAAAACTATTCTGAAAGAAACTGACAAATTTAAATTATAAGCATTAGCTCACACACTTCAACTTACGGTTTGGCAGCAGGTTCAGGTGACTCTTCTTCGTCATCTTCATCGTCATCTTCATCCTCGTCGTCCAGATCGTCGTCGTCATCCTCATCGTCGTCTTCTTCCGGTTGTGGGACTGGCTGTTTCAATTTTTTAGCTGGCGGTTGAACAGCTGCACCCTTTGCAGGAATCGCTGCCTCTGGAACTTTCACTGCCTTCTTTTCTGAAAAGGACACTTTCTTCACTGGTTCTTTCGCTGGCTTTTTGCTTTTTGCAAGCATAGGCGACTCCTCTTCGCTGGCATCCTCGCTGTCAGTGGGATTGGCCACTTCTTCTGCCTCGTCATTAATAAATGAGTTTTCGAACTCGTCTTCAGAGTCAACTGACATGTTTGCCACCATCGAATGCGTTCCTAGAGCAAATTTGACACTGCTACACTGTTTTAAACAAAAATAACCTCGCGAATATGGGTTCCCCTTAACCTAATTAACTTGTTAAGCATTGACGTCAACGACAGCAAAATTGACCGCGACAACAAAATATTCTACTATTTTTTAGCTTGTGCTTCCATGATTCCATCATAAACTTATTTCATCTTCCTGCATTATTTCAATTTAGAGTTGAATAGACATTTTGACAGATTTTTCTCATCTAACCGAACAGGTAGACGGGTCCTGTGCCTTTGGTGAGTGTGAACTGGACGGTGTCATCTGACTTGAGGTTGAACACACAGTTGGCCATGTGGTCCTTCTTCAGAATGCACAGCACTCCGGTCGAGTAGTCCTTCTCTTCAGACTCATCTTCGTCCGCGTCCATGTCTGGGATCATGCTGTGCTTGTATTTCACAGACACAACCTGGTAAATAATTATACATAGTAAAAAACAAAACTAAGAACGTAATTTTACTGTTAAAGCCCTTCAGACATGTTGTTGTTCGCTCGTTCGAATCTTACCCAAGTTATTGTTCAGAAATTCAAAACTTGTTCGATTTCATTATTTGGTGACCAGAGATCTCCGTCCGTTCAACCATAATGACACCAACGAATCTTCGCCGTGAAAATTAAAAATAAACCTTGCGCAATGGAAAATGCCTGCAACCGATATTAATTCTTCACTTGCATCAGCTGCAGTAATAACAAAAATCAATTTAAACCTGTGTGTCTGCCCCCTCTCCTCCATAACTGGCATGTGACAGCTGCAGTGTCTGCTGGATATTGATGTCTGCCTCCTGGTCATCATCGTCGTCCGCGGGAGTCCAGGTCACCGAGTTCTTGTCCTTCGTCAGTTCTCTGGACCACAGAATGTGCTTCTCCATTGCTATATGGTTTTTTCAATGCAGTTAATGTTCGTCAAGATACAGGTGCACAGATCTTTCCAATAACTTATCAAAACCGACCTCTGAAAAATTATGTTACCATTCACGCATTTGCACTGCAAAAAGTCTCACCTTTTCTTGCAGCCAAAAACTTATGAGTTTTACAAAATCTGTAGTCAGACCAGATTGAGTCTCAACGTGAATCCCTCGGTTATTCTCAAATTATCTCAACGTGAAAATCTCAAACTATCTCGTCAAAGACATTTTTTAGTTGAAACCTCGCCTATAGTTTGACAAATGCAGACCATTAACAGAGTGAACATAAAAATTGACAGATCTGTTAATTGTTGAACGAATGGTGCTCTTAAACATATTAACTATTCTAGCTCATATGTTTGACGGGTTGATTTATACGAAAGATCCATAAGACCAGACAAAGCATGCAACCAATTCTTCAAACCTCCTTGATGCTAGTTCAAATCAAAAATAACAAACTTAAAAATATTGTTTAATTGCTTAAAACTAGTTTTAAAACAATACGATCAGTTTTGACGCGTATTTGACAACAACCACTCGTGTTTCTTCTAATTGTACATTAAAATCATAAACGAAACAAAATCGTAACAATTATGACATCCGATCAAGTTAGTCGATTTATTCGTAGAAATGAAGCCGCGAAACAAAATTCAATATTACAAAACCAACCAACGACTTTGGTTACATTTAGCACTTGCAACCGTCAGAACAATATTAAAACCACCAGAAAAAATTCCAATAAAGAAGTCCAGACACCAGAAGAAAAAACTACGACAGAAGACCTTGCAACACTTGCCCTAAATGAAGTTCCTAGATGCCAGAAGTTTCACTTTTTGTACTACAGGACCTTAGAAGCATCCAAAAGAAGTTCTGATTACAGTCAAATTGAGGACCAGATTGAACACAAAGTTTCGCACGACACAGGAAATGGTCGTTTGACAGACTGGTAATAACTTAGCACCATCCACTGAAATCAAAAATTACTAGCCTGTAACGCGTCTCCCGTGCTACAAGCAGACTAGTGAATATGAAAGTTGCGTATATATAAAATATATGAAAAAAACAACAAAATGAATGCAACCGTAACAATATACAGGAAAATCCAACAACCCTTTTGATTTCAAAACCATAAAAATAATTTCAATTTGAAGGTTTTTTTAAACCAAAATGGTCAAATCTCAAAATCTACTGCGTTTCAGATCTCGTTCAGTTCGAATTTTTAATCCGCAACAAAAACCCTAAAATGGACGAAAGCATACATACAACTAAACATTCTATATTGAGAAAAAAATTTCAAACAATTTCACATGCAAAATCACGAAATTTATAAACGTGATTCATAATCCAGCGTAATTAATTTTGAAATACCACTCTTTTTTCTTAATTTAAATTTTTAACGAAAAATATTGAAATAAAAAAGCGCCAATTTGAGCAACAATATAAGGATTGGAGGCCACATCCGCATCCACTACTAATAACCTGACATCACGCCACCAAAGGTTCGACAATTTCAAATTTGAAAAAATATATATATTTTTGTGAATTTTAACATTTTTGAAAGTGTTCAAAAAACATAAATACGTCATGTCTAAGAAAAACAAAAGGAGGTGAGCAGTCATATTTGGAGTTCAGATAAGCAACCTGAGAGTACCGTGAGAGCAACCAACCCGAGTGGTGAGTATTTTAATTTATGTGAAGTTTTTTAGATCTAAAATTTTGAAAATTTGTGAATGAGCTTATCTCTCGAAAAACGGCGTATCTCTCGAAAATGATATGATTATATCAATCAGTCAACAAAGCAACATCTGCAACGTTTTGAGAAAATCATATAAAAACGTCATATCTCGGGAAGTTAAAAAAGAGATCAGTGATATTTAGAATCAAGATTTGCAATGCGTGAGAGCACCCTGAAACCACCTCACATCATAAAGTTAGGAATTTCAACTTTCGACGAGTTTTTTTTATATCTAAGTTCTTTGAAAATTTGAAATAAATCATAAAAAACGTCATCTCACAACATAAACAAATTTGAGTAGATACAATTGAAGCAAGATTTGCAAAGCCTGACAGTACCATGACAGCCCCTCACACTATAGAATTGGCAATTTCATTTCTTAATTCCATTCAAAAATCTTAGAAAAACGTCATATCTCGAAAACATAAGGATTTGAGCAGTCATATTTTTAAGCAACAATGGTACCCCCTGCGATTAACTTAACAGCACCCAACTAAAAGCTTGATAAATTCAAAAAATTTGCAGAGTTTTTTAATCCAAGTTTAAAAAAAAAAACATCATAAGAATCGTCGAAAGTCGTAAGCTAAAAAGATTTGGGTATTCATATATTTGGAGGCCAAATTCGCAACAGGCGAAACCACTGAATTTTATAAAATGCTAATTTCAGAACTTGGTGAAACAAACAAAGAAATCAAGCTGAAAATACGAAAAAATCTTAAGCACCGCAATGCACGATATAGCTTAAACGTGAAAAAAAAATTTCGCTAAAAATGCAGAAATATTACGTTGAAAAAGCTTGAAGATGGCAAGATAATGAAGCTCGCAGCAACTAACTATATAGACAGAGACGAAGCTTTGGTTCGCACACACTAGCGAGAACTCGACGAAAAGCAGCTCTAGAAAAGGCAATAAGAAAAAATTGAAAAAAAGCCTCGAATTAGCAAAAAATTGGCCAGGTCTAGGATTCAATCTGCGACCTACTGCAATCAATAAATTTTGAGTCTCACGCACAACCACTCAGCCACGCACGTTTAACCACCGACAGCAAAAGTTATTCAGCAAAAGGGGCACCAAATACAATCAGACACAATTTTGCAAGTAATCATTTGGAACATAACATACTGAAGCCATCCACACCAATTTTGCATGTAACAAATTGCAAAGCATAAAACCACACTATGTATAAATTGTGCATTTCAAAAAACTGCGAGATATATTGAGTTAGAAAATTTCTGAAATCCAGTTTTTATTATTGTGATGTTGTTTGAAACAAATAGCTTTTTGCGGTTCATTTGATGAAATAAGAAAAAATTGATCCTCGTTTAAAAACACTCAATTAAAAAGCCACGGTTAAACCAGTTAAAGCATATGCTATTATCACTAGTAATCTATCTATTAACTAATGCTAGCAATGTTGACAGGTTTTGTTCTGGATTCAGCGCGGCTCTTACAATAACAAGAAACAAGGAGCTGGAAGAGGCCTCAATTTTCAGGCCTATATCCGCAAAGCCAAAAACCCGCCTAGGGACAGCACAGTCAATGACAAACTATCTAGGCACATGCAAAACTAAGAGGCCACAAACAGTTCCTGCTAATGTTCCCACATACAAAAGCAGTTTTAATATTTTGCCACGTATTATGGCAGTTAATGAAGTTCTTCTAGAGCGAGAAGCTTCGATAAAAATGACAGGAAGTTTTAAAGAGAGGACCAAAACCCCTTTGCCACCTATCTTGCCAGACCCTTTTCAGCCTCAGAAGAGAGTGTCAGTTGATTTAACAAGATCCAGGCGGAAGAGCCGACGAAGGAGCACTTTGAAACAAGGAATTTTGCTCAAATAAGAACGGGGATTAAAATTCAGCTCAAGCTGCGATTTTTCAACTAACCCATTCAATGAGAAAAATGCAGCACGGAAATTGAAAACAATTATAATTGAAAAACATTTTCAGAATATATGATTTAGAATTACCATTTCAGAATTACAGTGAGCTTCGGCGCAGAAAAAAAATCACAAATCTTGAAATACGAGATACCTTGATTCTGGCAAAAAAAAACCATCATCAACCGCAAAATGAAGACTTAAGTTTGACAAACATTCAAAACGACAAAAAAAATAAAATCTCCCAGAAAATTTGCATAGCCAGTCAAATTGACGGTCAAAACATTTCAAAAACTGTCCAAAACGTAATTTTTGGTTTATTTTTCAAAGCTATTTTTGCGTAGCAGAAAATTTTGCCATGAAAGGGGTACAGGTGAGCTCTGATATCAAACTGGTCGTCTTGAACAAAGCCAACAGACCGTTGGAAAAGAGTCATGAACGCGAGGTAACAGAAAAAGAACTGACTTTAAAAAAACGTCATCTTTCGAACTTCAAAGAGAAAAAATATATGGCCTTAAGGCTCGTTTAATTTCAAGAACAATAATTTATGTTTGTCACTTTTTGATGAAATTGAATTCTGCAAATTAAAATCCAGTTTTGGAAACTAGAAGTGAGGCACGTTTTTCATGACCTTTACACTTTTCTGTTTTTTGAATTTGGAAAAGAACTGAACTTTAAAAGAAATCAAAAGTCAAACCGCGAACAATCAAATTTGAGAATTATTTTTTCAAGACCTATTTTAAAGTATTCACCACGTTCATGACTCTTAAAAAGGTCGATCAACATTTTTTTTTTTCGAAATTCCGCGAACTCAAAAAATTTCTGCGCACGCCATTGACAAAAAGTTGTCAGTTACTTGCAACTCTCGATCTGTCAGGTCAGTTGACCCATTTGACACTGAAAACGATTCATATCAATCCTTAAATTTTGTTTCATATTCACTATAGATTAACATAAGAAACAAAAACGTTTTATCTTTCTTTTTCGATAATTTCAAGGGTCAATCGAGAGCTAACTAGCTAGCAACTCGCTTTTCTCAGATGCATTTGTTATTTTTTCAAGTTTTAAAATACTAGCTTAAAATAATAGCCAAAAGATTATTTAATTTTAAACAATTTCTACCATCATTTGTCTCCTCTACCAACACTTTCGTTTTAAATTACTACTAGCGTGTAACTTGCCTCTCCGGTGCTTCAAACAGATTGATGAATGTGAAAATTGCTTTCATACAATATAAGAAAAAAAACAACGAAATTAAATGTAACCATGAGAATTGACGGTGGCATCAAACAACGCTTTCTATTGCCTTTTAAAAACCCTCGTAGTCAAGGTTCATAAACACTCAACTCCTAGTATCGAAATTATATGTTCTATCTTTCTTTGATACGGCAATAAAGTGTTTCTTTGTGAGTTTATGGTGCTGATATAGTTTCCTTAACCAGAACGAAACTACTCGGCTTTTCTTTTAGATCTCTACGGCGAGATTAGGACTCAATTTAGTAGAGGTCAATGATACCACTAATTCTGACCTTAGTTGACATACCGCACATATTGCGATCACTCATCTCATTGGCACCAATACAATACCGTTGACTTGTTCATACAGTCAACATTTGTTCATACGATCAGCCAACAACTATGTCTTGATCCCAAACAGATAAAAGACAGCTCCATTCATAATGTCATGAGGTGAATGAAATCTATTGGTTCATACTTAGGTTGGTTGCTCCTCATGAACAAGCTCTCAACAGAAATGTCAGATATGTCACTGCTCTAGGACAACGGAAACATACTTCTTATACCATTTGTTTAGAGCCAAAAATTAATCTGCTGATTTTATATAAGCCAACCAATTAACTATAAGAATACTTGTCATGAGTAGGAATAGGTGTTTTTTGTCACATGAAATTAAAACAATTCTTGAAGAATAAGTTCTCAAATATCACACCAGGCTAAAACAAACTATTTGCAGTGATCTACTCAACATCGGATGATCTATAAAGTTTAATAAACCAAATCAATCAAGCTTGAGGCAAATTCCACAAAGTTTGAAACAGTTTCATTGGCGTTCCCTAACTGAGAATGGCTATGCGACTCTCCGTCGATTCCTTTCTGGTTCGCACCCCTATAACCAACTCGCATACTAACATATCGAATACATCAGATACTGGATCTACGACTCCGATGACGAACTACTCCGTACCTTTTGTCATCTTGGACTCCCTGATTACTACCCTGGCAATATCGCCCAACTTCTCCTGTCTATTCCACATACTAGTACAACTCAAGAGTGATCCCATCATTAAAAACTGGCTCTACCTTTCGCTAGTTTTCACCACGTGTATCTCCAGTGTGCTCGGCATCCCCATCTACATGTTGACTAAGACTGTCGGCATCCCGCCCCTCTTTCAAGACGCACACCTTGACTACACTCTGTGTAGTTCCCTCATTGCAATCTACCTGTGTGCTTCTGGAGTTTTGCCTGCAATGCTTGGTTAGTAGAAGCGCAATACCGCATTTCAAGTATATTCTGGTTGGAAAATAAATTACGCGGTATAAAAAATCTACTGTTCTAAGACTAACCTCATTACTTTGTACAATATCGCTCTCAACCCTATGCACTGGTAGCCTGCAATTTTCGATAGTGCGCTAGGAGATACACACAAAAAAGGCGTTTCTGGGTAAAAACACGGAAAGCTGAAATAAATGTAACATAACTAATATAATAGTTTCTTTTCAGTGTGTCTCGCAATAGAGCAGACATATGTCATCCTGTACCCGAACAGATCACGCAACAGATCCCTCAGAACCACTAGACTACTCACACTAAGCTACATTGGAGTATCGTGGTCAGTGTGTGCAATTAATGCATCCATTCCCATATTCCACAGGGACAACAGACTCATTCAGCACGGACAGTTCACAAGATGCTACTATGAGGTTAACTACCACTACCATGCTACTACTAAAACGAAATATTTTTTAATTTGCGCAAATCAGGGAAATTTCAAACAATTTTATCATGGCAATTTTAACATTTTCAGACAAAGCTCCATTCATTGATTTCTGACAAGTGAGAGGAGAATGAAAATGTAAGCAGCCAAACGATTAAAGTTTTCAAAGGTGAAAATTTTATATTAGCAAAAATAAGGCTCCTGACCGAATTCAAATCATGAAGGCTACTTCAAGGTGAATCGTGTAAAATCAAACACATTGCATATGACTTATTTTATATTTCAAGCCATCAAATGATTCAGTGATTCTGTTAAACAAGTTGGTAACCTGAAAAAAAGTACGTTCCGATTTGATAAAGCTGGCTAATTGCAAATTTCATCACAGCAAAAATTCTTAAATCATGAGAAAACCAATGCTAAGGAAACTTTGCCGACAAAAATAAGCAGACAAAAGATTCCAAAAATTTTCATTTCCAAAATCTAAGGCTCCTGGCTGGACTCGACTCTCAGACTTTTGTCTTCCTAAGCATGTGCATTACAGCTACGTTATACGGTTTTAAACAGTTGTAGGAGCTTGATATGCCAATAAACAAACCTGATGAAGTCGATGATTAAATTTTTTACCGTGGGAAAAAGTCTTGTAACCGGTTGCAATAATCTAGCTAATCGCAAGGGTAACCAATCTACTTTTCCAAATTGTCCCCATAATAAGCCACTGTCGCCATGTTTCAGTATATCCTGACATGGAAATCCATAGTGCCCTACTTCATCTGCAGCTTCTATATGCCACTCACTCTGCTAGTGGGCCTCACAGCCACAATCTACAAGGGACTCGGCCAACTACAGAAGAGAAATGAGAGGTTTCCAGTTCTACAGCGCATGCTAGTATGTTTCAAGCTCTGTTTCTTTCAATAAACTTATAACAGATCTGATGTTGCAAAACGTTCGAAAATCTGAGAAAAAATATATAGCTTTTAACAAATTTATCGGACAACGTCTTAAATTTTTGAAATATTCTCAAAACTGCATTTGAACTGACAAAAGAGCAATGCAAAATGATTGCGATTTTTCGGAGAATTTCGTTAGTGCCTTATTTCAGGAGCACAATTGAAAAAACTTTTTCGTTCAACAACCATTCGCCATGCAACTTTTCAGAGCAAAAAAAAACCGATAAATGCCGAAAAAAAGGTAAACGCGAATTTTCAAACAAGTATTTCGATTTATTTTTTTACTTGAAGGCCAGACTTATTTCAGAAATTGAACACATTGCACCACTTTAGAGCTCTTTGATAATTCTTCCATAATAACGCTGAGTACACTTATGAAGCCAAATTCAGACACTTTTCCGCGCCATCTCCAATTTTATTCTTAGAGAGCTTCCGTTGCATTGTGTACATATCATTTGGTAAATGATTTATACTAGCACAACGAATTCACATTGATTGAGCGGAACGAGTTCATCCTATTTAACTATTACGCAGACACTCAGTACTCGACTTCAATAAAAACGAAAAAAAAAATGGCAAAAAACTGTAAGGAAATGTACAAGTTACATCAAGAAAAACGAACATGTAATATAGCACAAGTATTGCTTATGTAAATCAGAGGTTGAATCAATATCAGAGAAACTTTTTAGAGTGCCCGTCAATATCGCAGATCTTCGCGAAGTGTGGTGATTCTGTCTGCCTTTTGCTTAGTGACATGGATGCCATTAGCTGTGATGAGGACCATCGAAATATTCAATCCAGAATTCCCAGATAAAGTAAAAAACAACTTTTCCGGCAAAAAGCTGTTTAAAAAAATGTTTCTCATAAATTTCACATAACCTTTGAAAAATTGTCAATGAAGTCAAGGAGAATATGATCGATTTTTTCAAGAATATTTCTTCAAATTTGGAGTCTTCAAAAAACACCCTAAAGATGATCAAGTTTTTTATGATTGACACTTCTATCTCATCGAATAAATAACTCAAAAAAATTATAGGACAATTTTTTACTATTCACTTTTTTCGGTACAGATGCCAGGCTTTGTGTTGAACACGACTGTGCTTCTATGGCACCTGACTGTGTTATTCAACCCACTCTACATCTTGTACAAGGAGTACAGCAGTGGGAAATATAAGCCCAATAACGTCACCCTCAGCATCACACAGAGTCTAGGTTGGTAGATGGCCAGAGGGAGGGGCAACGATTACACTTCGACAGATATCGTGAAGCAATTGTGAACAAGACCGAAAACCACAAACACAATTTTAGCTATATTTAGTCTATTTAGTATACTATAGGAGTTTTATAGTTTTATGTAGATAAAATTGAAATAATTACATTCACCTAATTTTACATTGGGCGTCGATGTTTACCGACACAGAACATAGGTTTGCGATTGAATCAGGTGTCTAAGTACAAAAGATATCAAGTTAACTTTTCTATTCGAAACAAACTAATAAGTTTTATGCATGTAAATGCACTAAGCAGTCAATTATCTTGCATATTTCTGAATAGCATGACAGGAAATGTATGTAGTGCACTTCCGTTTTAGGCTCGAACGGAGCAAAAATTACGCACAAAACAAAAACACCGAAAAAGATCACAATTAACTGCTTGATAATGATAACAAAAAAAACATCAGAATCGGGAAGACATTCCCTTCGAAATTGGACAATCACCTCCTGCGTTGTAATTTTTACCTCCAGCAAACTTGGTCTCATCTGACGATTTAAAAATACTGTTTTTATTGATTCCTTTTTTGTTTGTCTTACCCATGAAACTCTTCCAGCTTTTCTTCTCTTGTTCTTTCGTTTCGTCCAACTCCTTCAGTTTTTGAACCCTGTTTTGATTTTTCTTCTTTTTCTTCTCTCTTTGCATTTCCATCATGCTCCGTTTTGACCTCTGTTTTATAAAATCTGATACTTGTTTCGGGTGTTTCAACCTACCAGTGGTGCATTTTTCAACAATTCCATACCCGTCAAATGATACAGTAACTGTCTGTTTGTCCCCAGACACCTCTTTGATGGTTGCCGCATTTAGCTTTCCATCTTTTGACCAAGGAGCGTAGCACTGCATTCCTGGCTCCCATTTGATTTCGTGGAACTGCAGGTGAAAATCTTCGTCTTCACCTTCTCCGCCGTATAAGGAGGATGGAACTTTATCGGCACTACCGTTGCTTTCATTTGTGTTGACGATTTTGGATTTTTTAGGTTGAAAACTATCTTCATCGTCAGAATAGTGGTGTTGTCCTCTTTTGGCTCCATTTGAAAAATCACTACCATCGTTGTTCTTGTGGTTCGAACTACTGGAGGCCTTGGTAGTGTCAATCAGTTCTTTAGTGAGGTTGATTACTTCCTCTAAGTCTGATTTGAGTTTGGTCAACTCGGGGTTTGAGGGGTCATTAGTGAGGGCAGCCTCCACCTGCTGTAATTGGAGACTGTATGTTGCCAAGTTGGCCTCTTCTTCGCTAAGCGACATTAGACCTGAAGTATGACAATACATTTCATCATTTTAATACGGTTCTCTCGAAGCCTCAACCAAACAATTGTTCAAAATGTATAATAAAAACAATGATAGTCCATTTCTTCTCACTTATCATCGGGCATTCCTACCACAATTGCTTATGCAAGAAAAATTAAAATAAAACCCAGATTAGTTTAAAAAGCAAAACCTTGAAACCTACGAAGGTTTTCTCTCGACGTCGAGAAACCTTCAACTTTTGCGCGGGAAAAAGTAGAAAACTTAACACGGACCTAAAATTCCTTCTCCTTTCGGGTTTAGAACAATACACTTAATTTTTTTTTTCGTTTCATGGCAGCTCTTTCGATGGTTTACTATGTAAGAGATGTAAGAGAAACAAAATCCCCAATTTATCTAACTTGTGGCCGTTATTCGCACTTTCTCATCACCACTTTCTCATCTCAAAACTTGGTTGCGCCGCACATTTTAAGCTCAAACTCAGTTTAGTTAAAACACAAGATTTAAGTATAAATTGACATCTAAAACATCATTTTTGCAATAAGTGAAACTTTTCAGATGGTGCATGAGTTATGACGCATTGCAAAATAAACAGCGTTGAAAAATAGTATCTATTTTATTTCATCGCTTTATTCAGAGTTGATTGTGATCAACCAATTTGTTCACGCACTTGCTCAGCATCTTGAAGACACTAACAGTCAGCTACCAGTTTACAGAATTAATAGGCGGGAAAAAATGGATGTCTAAATGGTGTGAGTTAGCCAAAACTGAAGTGGACCCCTCCGCCAGGGCCTCCGAAACTGGAGTGCCGATGACTTCTTCCGCTTCCAGCTCCAGGATGACCGCCCGGCACTAAAACAGACGGCAACAAATTATTCAGCACACTTTTCATGCTTCATTGAAAATCTCCGCTAAGCATCAATCCGCATCAATTGATTCTTCAGGTCATTTTGTTTTTCAAAAAATTTAGAATATTGGCTAAAAAGAGTCGAACTTTCAGTTTACTTGGGAAAAGAGCATGAATAAATATCTTGGCATCATTAATATTTTATAAGAACATAAGCTACACAGACGAAATTGCATCTATTCCATATTTCACAGTTCAATGACTTTTACATCCCATTATGACTACCAGACATCAAAAGGAAGATGTGCTCACTGAATTGGAACGCCTCCTGACCTCCACCTCCTCCCCCGAAGAACATCTGGAAAATTTGGCTGGGATCCACATCGTGGAACCCCCCTGGTCCATCCATGTCCTCCAAATCCTGCCCAGTGTCGTATCTGTGTCTCTTGTTCTGGTCACTCAGCACCGAGTATGCTTCCCCGATGTCCTTGAACTTACGCTCATGTTCTGCCTTCTCTTCCTCTGGATCTGCCTGGTGACGATCTTAACAGAATAGAGTGTTTAACAGAATAGATAGTGGGCACCATTTTTGCTCAAGCTTCAGTGTGATTGTTAATAAATTTGTTCATACAACTATAGCTTTAAAAAATGTCAATTTGCACTCAATTGTTCAACAAATGACAGTATTATCAGTATTATGATGAAAACCAGTCATTTTCTTCCAAAAACAAAGCCTCCAAAAATATGGAAACATTTGATTGATACCGAAGTGTCAATGCTAAAAAAACTCTAGATGACATACAGCAACGATGAACTCACCTGGATGATGTACGAGTGCAAGTTTCTTGTATGCCTTCTTGATCTCCTCTTCAGTGGCAGTTTTTTCCACTCCTAACAATTTGTAGTAGTCCTTCCGTTTGCTCTTTTTCAGTTCCAGCTTAGCTTCCTGTAGGTGTCGCTTGTTCGCTAAACAAAGTATCGGCTACATGTCACACTCGTCTCATAGTGTCGACCATACAACTGTACGACTGTTGATGTCATTCAAATTATATATTTCCCTACCCTCCCAGGCAGTGGCGTATTAAGGGGAGGGAGCTGACGCGTTCCTCCCTCCCCCTTCAGGGATTCGACCCCTACCGACCCAAAGGGTTCCCCCTTTGTACTATTTTGAGATATCCATTTTTGGCTGACTGACCTAAAAATTTTCTTAAGGCGCCTTTGGCGCCAAAATATACTAATTTTGAGGGAGGACGCGTACACAAAAAACGCTTTTTTTTCGCCTGTGCTTTAAAAAATTACCTGCTGCGCAGAAAACTTGGCCAATATAGGGTCTTTATAATGATTTGTGAGAGCTAAAAAAATGAATTTGGTCGACATAAAAAAAGGTTGACAAATTTTCAAAAGCCCCGAGAAATTCCTAGATACGCGTCTGCTCTCAGGAACACTAAGTATTACAAGAGTCCTAAAATATACTACCTTAGCTACTTATGAAGAACAGATATTTTGTTGCGAACCTCTGCATTGTCTTAGGATATCTCTAAGAAAAACATTTTAATTCTAAATTTCTTCATGCATAAATCATTCCCTCTCTTAGCCGCTCTGAAAAACCAATATCGCAAATGTATGCTCATTGAGTTGGTCTTCTGTTAATTAATATTTATCAAAAATTAAGAGTTGTAAAGGTAACGTGTTTCTTAATTTTTCAGATCTTAATAACTTATGCCCCAAGCAAATTTTTGTTTTTCTCGATAACTAGGGGCTAAAGCTGGATGTACGTGTGTGATGTTTTGGATTTGTTGTTCTGATCCGGGACCAAATGCGTTTTTTCAAAATTGAACTTCAAAAATGGGTGTATAAAAACAAAAAATTTGACCATTCCGAGGGCCACAACTTTATGTGTTTGGACGCCGCCGCTTATGCAGGAGAGCTTTTCCAAACGTTTTTTTTTTTCAATGAAACCAAAATCTGATTTGGGAGCATAGTTTTCGATAAAACCAAAAAAATTTAAATGGGTCAAATATTCCCCCCACAGACTTTTTCGAAGTGATGACAGGGCGAGAAAGTGAAAAGAGACTAGGAGTGTATGCAGGCACACATGGAAGTACGCGTTCATTCCACTGATATCCCGTTTTTTGAAAACCGGTAAAAATAGTTTTGAGAAAAGCTAAAATTTTTGCCACAAGTGAAAAAATCCAAATCGTCTCAAAAAAATTAAATAAAAAAACCCAATCACATTTATTTTCATGATTCCTGTTTTTCTCAAACAGGAATTAATGACATTGGAATTAGCAACGGAACTAACAATAAGATAGAGCTAACAATATTCAATTTTTCTACTTACTCGGATTGGGATTCTTTTTGTAGACGTGTTCGCAGTCTCTTACCGCCTCCTCGTACCTTCCGTCCTCCTGCAGCAGTGCTGCTCTCCTGATGAACGCCTTCTCATAGTTTTCGTCCAGCTGAATGGCTTTGTCGCAGTCCTTGATTGAGTCTTCAATTTTCTTCAACTAAAAAAACAGATTTTCAAAAAAAATACGGGCACGGACAGAAAATGCTAAGTGTCTCGCAATCAAAACTTGGCGATTCCATTCATTCCCTAATCTGTGATTGTGGAAGTAACGATGTGATGCATCTAAGTATTAAGGACAGGGTTAAGAGCGTTTTGTGACAGTTATAGAAAATTCGTTCGAATATTATGTTGTGATTAAGAACTGGCAAAAACTTATCAAATAAAACTGGCAAAAACTTCTTAATAAAGAGCATAATCATTGGGCATAATCAAATAAAGAGCATAATCATTAGGTATACGCAAAAGATAGAAAAAGTTTACCTCAACTCATTTAAGGTAGAAACTTTTTGAGGGGTAAGAAACTTTTCGAAAGCAACTAAGGAGAAGAAATTATTTCTAAATTCGAAAAAAACTATATCTACAAAAATTTGTCTCAAATGAAGGTCATTTTGAGGAAAATAAGTCAAAGACACCATGGCGCCGTTAAATAAGCATTCAAAATCATTTACCAAGCGTCAACTAAGCCGACAATACTTGAGGAGATTCCATTTGAACCTCAATCAAAATGAAGTCAAAGAAAAACTTGGGCTTTACAATTTGCAAGTCAGAAGTTTTTAGGCTCCAATCCTTTGAAACATTCTAGAACAGTCTATTTTCTTAATTTAAACGACGCAAAAACAAATGCAAAGCACTAGACAATCTCATTTAAACAAAAAAAAATCAGATAGAAACAAAATTTACGAAAACAAAACTAATTTTTTCTAGCTAACGGAACTTTTTCTTGCTATAATTTTCTCAACAAAAACATAGCCAGAAAAAGTTCTGTTCTTTGAAAGGTAAGCCAACAAACGATAGTCCGAGAATTCGAGATTTTCAGAAAAAATTCAAATTCCGCATATCTATAAAAGGTAGATACGATCGGGAATGAAACCCTAGATCTTATGTTCCGAAAGGTGCATAGACATTTGTGTCCTTAACAAAACAGTCCAAAATTATAAAATTGTACCAGACATTCATGTCCCAGACAAAATTTACGAAAATTTTTTGCTAAATTAATTTCTTTGACCTAGTGATCTTTAAGGTTTTGTTATTTTGAGGTTGTTTGATCGCTCTTTAATTAGATTCTATGCGTACCAATAAGCCCTAGAACAGTCAAAGTGAGACAAAACTTTCCAGATCAATTTGGAACTTAAAAGCGCACTTGGCCGAGCGACGAAGCCGTAAGTTTCTAGGTCAAATGGCCTGAAGTTCAAATCTCGGGTACGACAAAAAAAACTTTCGTAATTTGGTCAATATTTGAATTTGAAAAACCCAAAATTGGGTAAACTAAGGCAAAGTTGAAACGGGTTGACTTGATTGAGCCAAACGGGAAGAGGATGTGAAAAGCTTGACTACATTGACCATGTCAATTTGCCGTTTTCAAAACGGGTCTAGCTCCATTTTGAAAACTTCTGGGAAAAAGTTCAACTTGGAAAAATTATTGAAAATTATTGCTTCGCAATATCAACTTTGGAAAACAAATTGACTTTGAAATATAAATTGATGTTGCTGCTGCACCCTTTTAGGAAACTCAGAAGTTTATTTGGGTCGTAGACCGCAACTAATTCGTAAAAGTTTTTGTCACGTTTGACATAAAGAGGTTTTGTATAACGTGACACTCTTTGCCCGGCACTTCTTTCGATCAAGATTTCAGCGTTTTCATGTTCGTCCTGAAATTTTTCTATGAGTTTGAGAAATGATGGATGTTTGCCGTTGACGAGCTTAACGAAGTTGCTATTTCAACCTTCAACAGCATTGTTGGTTCTGGGTCGCCCGGTTATCTCACGCTGATGACAACTCCAGCTGTCAACGTCAAATCTGGGGTTTTGATGAGTTCCATTAGCCACCGAGAGCCGACCAACGTAATTGTCCTCAAAGTAATTGAAGATTGAGTGGGCTGTCTCAGGGCAAGTCTTCTGAAGAGTTTCAAAAGCTGGAAACATCACTTTCAGGCAGGAAAGCGATCGGTACTCAGCAGCATTCGGACATGCTCGCGGAATTCTAGATCTAGTCTGCAGTTGTTTGTATTCCCAGTAGACTGAATGTGACCCCAGACGCTTTGACTCAAATGGAAATAGCAGTATTGAAATTGTACAATTTTGGATATTGAATTGAACTCATTTTTGACCGCTCTTTCGAAATCAACGGTGGCTCGTTTGGAAAATTCAATGTCGAAGCAGCTCAAAAGTCAAAAACACGTTTTTTCTTTCTTGTCTGAAGGCAATGCATACACAATAGGAATCAGAATTCCCTCGAATGATGCGTGGATGGTGTATATCTGAAAAAACACACTTGGGGCGGTAGAAAAGAAGCCATCACAGATCCAATCATCAGCGCCACTGAGAAGATCGAGTCCTGGAAGAGTGGTGAAAAGCATTATTCGCTTGGTATCATTAGGTCCATAGTCAAAATGAAGGAAACGCTCGCCACTGTGTCACTTTCGGCAACTCTGGCAGTTCAAAATCAATTAAGGATTTGAGTTCCTGCATTCTGGGCCGTTTTTCCTGTTTAAATCGGTTAATCGTCCTCTGGTTGGCGGAGTAGCTCGGGATTATCGCTCTAGTCTCTCGTAGTGTTGATGTCTCTTTGGACGGAAAGAATTGCTTGACGTGGTGGTCCTGCACTTTCGTTTTTCAATATCGGCTGGATCGGGAAAATGACTGTGATCATTTATGATAGTGACGTTATCTTGGAAAGTGCGCACAGACGATTGCATTTAGATAAAACACATCGCCACGAAATTCAGGTGTCTGTTAGAATCCGATGTTTAAAGTATGCGTATGCATCATAAACTAGCATTTCGTTGTTCTTATTTGTCATAGGAATTTCCATTGTCAACACGAACTCGAGAGCAAAAACAATGAAATTATGATCTCTCGTGTCTACGTTTGGCAACATTAACAATCAAGCGATAATTGTGTAGGTATGTGTAAATGATTTGAGTCCTGTGTTAATTTTGTCTCTAATATGCTGCGCTAAGTAATTTCTGGACTAATTGCTCAGTTGCGTGGCCTTATCGATTGAATCCTTCCTATTGAGAGCTTATCAAAATAATCCGGTCATTAACTAGTGTTGCAATAGCCCGGACAATTTTGGGACAACTTTGTCTGGGAACCAAATGTCTTGGACACTTTTTGCCGGGACATAAATGTCTGGGACACAAATGTCCTGACATGGTTCCGAAAACCCCTGCTAAACCTCTAGACCAAGTGTGCGGGGCAAGAATGATTTTGAGGTTCCATAATAAAGCACGGTAAATTTCTTCCAGGTCTTTACAGCAAAATTGTCCCGCAGGGGATCGAACTTCAGAACTTATATTCAGAAGTCTATGTGATTTACCTCTAGAAAAAGTGAGAGGGGTCTGAAAATTGTTGAGGTTCCATAATAAAAATAAAGAAACACATACAGCTTGTGGTCCTCGAACAGTTTTTAATGAGTATACCTTACACCTAACTTGATAACTGTTCAAATTTATTAATTAAGGTAATTTTGAAATATATAACTATTTTTCGTTTCAATCCACTTAACAACCCCCCCCCCCTTAGAACTTATTAAAGATAATCTTGATCCTTTGAATTTTTTGTTAAAATATATGCATTTCAAAAACTTAAACAACTGATCCGTTTTTTATTTTTCTGGTTTAAAAAAAATAATAATAAATTCGTTTTCAAGAAAGGAACAGACTTGATTATTATTTATATAACTCAAAACAATAATAAAAAAAACGTACCATCTTGGAAGAGCACCAAAAAAGCCAGTTAGCTGCCTATTGAGTGGTGTAGTGAATGATTGCAAGAAGCTTCATTTCATTTTACTTTCTATCAAGGTGACTTTCTTTATTTGATATGCTACATAAAAATCAATTTTAGCAAAATTAACTGATGATGAAACACAACGCTTCGCAAACACTATCAAGAAGACGGCAAAAAGCAGCTCTATAAAGAGAAATATGAAAAATAATAAACAAGTCTCGAACTAAAAATAAGCCTCTAATTATGAAACCTTTGCTATGTGTCGGACTCGAACCTGGGACCTCGAGATTTGGAGTCTAACGTCCTTCCCTCTCAGCCTTGGCCACAGATACATCAGAGAACAAAAAATATGAAATTTCTAATTTTACAGATTGTGATTTAAGCGAAAGTACCGCCAAATTGGCCTTTTACTTTGCGAGTTAGGTTGGAAAAAAGTAGAGTCACGCTAATACACTACGCTTGTTAGTCTTAAAAAAACTAGCGTGTATCGCACCACCGCCATTAACTAAAGGGTTAGTAATTTCAACTTTTTTTAAAATCAAATTTATGTTTTCAGAACTTTTTTTTGATTTGGAGGCAAGATTCGCAATCACTGAAAATACCCTGAAAGCCCCCCATTACAAGGAAGGGGGCTTCAAATTTCAATTAAAATATGAAAATAAAAAATCACAAAAGACGTCATATCTCGAAAAAAAATCTATTATTCATTTTTGGAAGCGAGACTCGCGACACCCCAGAGTTCTCTGACAGCTTCCAACTTAAGTGTTGGGAATTTCGAAATTTGAAAAGAAAAATTGAATTTCAGTTTTCTGAGAATTTTTTTTTAAATCACAAAAAACGTCATATCTTGAAAGCTATGAGCATTTTAGCAGTCGCATTTGGAAAAAAGATTTGGATCATGAATTTTCTGAGAGTACCAGCGCAGTACCCAACTACAAGATTAAGAATTTCATATCTTTCGAATTTTTAAAAAATTTAAGAATCATAAAAAACGTCATATCTCTAAAACTACAAGAATTTGAGCAGTAATATTTGGAGGAAAGATTCGCAATCCTTGAGATTACTTTGACAGCACCCAACTACCTGGGTTCGGATTTCTAAGTTTTGTAAATTATTTTGTAAATTGAGTTTTCTGAAAAATTTTGAAAAATCGTCGTATCTCATACACTAAAGGGATTTTGGTATGCATAGTTGGAGACCAAATTCGCAACAGCCTGAGGAAATCTGACACTATTCCATTGTTGTGTTGCTAACTTTTAACTCGATTTAACACTAGATTTAAACTGGAAAATCGAAAAAAACTTCTTAAGCAATGCAATATACGATATAGCTTAATCACGCATAAATACGTTATGCCCTTATCTGTTGCAGAAAACGCTTAAACAAGGCAAGATACATGTCACACGCATTTAAATATAGTATAGAAGATTGTTACGTGGATACCAATTTTTTTTTGCATTTTTGGCACAAGTTATTCGCTCCAAGAAAAAGTTTTGACTCCTACAATTCACAAATGACACAGCGTCATTGGAAAACGTATTCAACTACTTCGATCATATTTTACCAGGATAATTTAAAAATTGTGTTCTACAATTTGTCTATAAAGTTATGCACACCCAGAAGGACGTCTTATTATGATACTTTATTGGCCTGCTTTAAGAACCTGCAATTACACTTACGGATAGTACAATCTCGCAATACGAATTCACGAATCATTCACGCAAGGAAACCGAAAGACTAGTACTAACAAAGACAATGAAAATGACTTTTTTCACTGTCCCTCCTCCACATTTAAATAAAAAACAAAAAATAGGGCCTTAAAGCTCGTTGAATTCAAAGAACAGCTAGCGTGTAACGCACCTGCGGTGCTTCGAAGTTTTAACAACTCATTAAAGCCGCATACATTGGAAATAAGATCTGAATCCTTTGAGTGTACTCTGACAGCACCAAATTACAGGGTTCGTAATTAGAAATTTTGCGAAGTTTTATTCAACTTTTTTAATACGAATTTTGAAAAACCAGAAAATTTTGCGAAGTTTTATGTAAGTTCTTTGAAAAAACTCAAAAAGAACTAGGAAACTCCACAACTTAGAAAATAAAAGAAATTGAGCAGTCGCATTTGGACGCAAGATTTGCAACTCCTGAGAGTACTCTTCCAGTACTCAACTATAACGTTAGGTCTCAAATTTTGAGAAACTTCCACGTCACACCTCAAAAACTACCAAGATTTGGGCAGTCTTAGTTCTGAAAGCACACAACTACAGGGTTGGGAATTTCAAATTTGTGAATTATCTTATAATTTCAGTTTTCTGAAAATTTCTGAAAAAAATCACAAAAACCGTCCTACCTCGTACACTGAAAAAATTTGAGCATTGTTAATTGGAAGCCAAATTCGCCACCCCTGAGATTACTCTGACAGCCCCTCAACTACAGGTTAGGAGTTTCAGATTTTGAAAAAAAAAGAAGTTTAATTTAGGATTTCGGAACATTTTTTTTTGAAAAAATGACAAAAAACGTCAAATCTGGAAAACTAAAAGGTTTTGAGCTGTCATATTTGGAGATAAAAGTCGCAACTCTTGAGAGTTTCCTGAGAGAGCCTCACTATAGAGATGGGAACTTCAAATTCAGTGAAACTTTTATATCTAAATTCTTAGAAAATTTTTTTCTATATCTAAGTTCTCGGAAAAAAATCCTTAAAAAATCATATGTCGAAAACTACAAAGATTTGAGCAGTCATATTCAGAGGCAAGATTCGCAACTCCCCCTGAGAGTACCCTCACAGTTTCCAATAATAGGATTTTCGAAGTTTTGGAAATTTTTTAAATCTAAATTTTTTTTTGAAAATTTTTGAAAAAGTCATAAAAACGTCATATCTCGAAAACTACAAGGATTTGAGAAGTGAGATTTGGAGGCAAGATTCGCAACCCCTGAGAGTACCCTGACAGGCAAGATTCACAAGCCATTTGAGCAGTCATATTTGGAGGCAGATTTGGCAATCCCTCATAGTACTCTGACAGCCCCCAATTGCAACTATAAGGGTTTGAGCAGTCATATTTGGAGACAATAGTCGCAACCTCTGAGACTTCCCTAGCAGAGCCTCACAATAGAGATGGGAACTTCAAACTTTGTAAAAATTTTTATATCTAAACTCTTGAAAATTTTTAACGACATAATAAACGTCACATCTCGGAAACTAAAAGCATTTGTGCAGTCGCATTTGGACGCAAGATTTGAAACTCCTGAAATTACCGTGACAGTACCCAACTACAGGGTTGAGATTACATATTTTTTTAAAAAATCAAATTTAAGTTTTCTGAAATTTTTTGAAAAAATCACCAACAAAGTTGTATCTCAAAAACTACAAGGATTTGAGCAGTCATATTTGGAGGCAAAATTCAAAACCCCTGAGAGTACCCTGACAGGCAAAATTCACAAGCCTGAGAGTTCCCTGACAGCGCCTCAATATAGAGATAGGATCTTCGAATTTTGTGAAGAGTTTTTGGTCCAAGTCCTTTGAAAAATTTGCGTTCAAACAGCTAAAATATGGCGAGATAGTGATACCAGCATCTAAATATATAAAAGATTCAGAAAACTAGATCAACAGGAAAATCTAAAAAGTAAAATCTATTTTCGCAACAAGAAGTCGTTAATATTTCTTTGCTCCTAAAATGCACTGATGCGGGATGAAATGAAACCTTCACAAATGGAACTTTACGGAAAATCACAATGTTTTCTAAACTGAATTAATGAAATGGCCACTTATGTCGGGTAAATTCCCTCCACACGTTCATTCAATTGAACTTGATGTCAGATTTGGCAGGGCAGTTTTCAGGAAAGGAAAAACTTCCAAAACACAATTTCGAAAAAAAAAGACTTTTCCTAAAGCCAACACGGCTTTCCTTAAAAACATAGAGAGCAACAGTTTATAAAGGGAAGCCATTAAAGCAATTGAACCAATAACTTCAGATTGGTAGTTTTTGAGAAAGTAATCTCCCAAAAATAATCCAAAATCTCAAACTCGTTAAATTTTCCAGTTTTCAAAAGTTTAATTACAAAGATAAGGGCGTAGCTGCTTCTGCAGGGAAAATCTAAGGGAAAAAGTACACCTAAATTTTCCATTGAAACCGTACCTGCGGCGCCACTAAAGCAGGGCAGATTCCCATAACATGTTTTGATCCAAAATTTCAGATAAGGGACTATTCCCAAGAACATAAAACTGTTCCTACAAAAATTAGGGAGTCCCTTTTTCTGTACGGAAAATTATCTCAACCTGTTCCTTCGATTGAACTCTGGATCTTCGTTCTGGCAGGGTAGTTTTTGAGAAAAAATGCCAAAAAAAACGGTCAATCATAAACATATTTGACTTTTTCAACAAAAATTAGGGAGTACTGGATTATACAGGGAAGAAGCTCTCAACCTGTTATTTTATTGAACCTTTAATCTCAGAGATGGTAAAGTAATTTCCAAAAAAAAACGGTCAAAGTTTCAAAAACGGTCAAAATTTATGGCCATCGTAAAATTGACTTTTACGATCGCCATAACTTTTTCCTCAAAAAAACATTAGGGCAAAGCAGCTAATGCCGGGAGTTTTCTAGATTGAACCTTTAATCTCAACATCTCAACTTTTCGAGTTGACTGACTGACCGTATAAAATCACGCTCGCTAACTCGTCACAAAAAAGCATATGTATAATAGTTAGAACAATCCCCAAAAAACTTGCCTCAAATTTATCAGTAAAAGCTTACTTTGCTCCCTGTCGTGGCTCGGTTGCAGTACAATTTGGCATTTGTGATTTTGTTGTGGGGATCGATTGATAGTGCTTCAGAGTAAATCTCATACGCTTTCTGGTAAGCCCCACGCTTGAAAGCTTCATTCCCTTCTTCTTTCATTTTGCTCAGCTTCTTTACTTTCTGGAACAAACATTTCCACATATAAGTCTGCACGCCAACAAAACACCCCTGATCATTACTATTTTGGTTTAGTTCTCATGTGTTTATAGGTCAACGTACAGCAACTTATTTCCAAGTCTAATCATATTCAAGATAAATAGATACTATATGCGGAGAGACATTTGACGGAAGCCGATGGCCCTTAATAAAAAATGTAGACTAACTTTGTGCGTTTCTCTTGACTTGGTGTGATCTGGCGCTAATCTCAACACTTCCGCGAGAAGTTTGATGGCTTTTTCCATATTGTCTTGATAATAATTGCAGAGAGCCAGCACAAAAATTGCATCTGCATTAGTTTCCTTTCGTACTACCTCCGAGGCTAGCTCGTTGGCATCTGTGAATTTTCCCAGCATAGCCAGACATTCAGCTCTTAGAACTTTATAAGATGTGTTACTGGGGGCGAACTTGGAGCATTGTTCGAAATAATACGCGGCAGTTCTGCAATCGTCAACTTCAATTGCCTTTCGAGCTTTAGCTTCATGTGCCGTCAACGCTGCTATCTGTTTGCCCTAAAGTCATACTTCCATCATCAGGGATGACAGACCAAATCCGTGAACACTTCGAACAGTTCCAATTATGTTACCATTCCTTGCTTCAAATATTTCAGTCATAACTCAAGACATCAAATGAAAAAGTTACTAACACACTCATCTAGCGTCCTTTTATCATCTGCTGATAGATTCGCATCCAGGTTCAACACTTTCTGTTCAATGTTTTGTGCTGCAGCAGCCTGCCCGAGAGCAATATGGCATTTAATTTCTCGGACATATCCCTTAAATCAAAATCCAATTGAATAAGTTTCATTTCAGATAAATGATCATTTTCGATACCTTATTTTTACCTTGATAAAATTAGAGTTGAGAGACGTGGACAATTTTGCATCTTCCAAAGCAGAAGTGTACTGGCCCAGCATCATGTAAGATGCACTGCGATTTCCAAAAAGGCTGAAGTTTTCTGGATCTAATCTGATGGCCTCGCTGTACGATTTTATTGCTGATTTGTAGTCTTTCTTCTTATGGAAATCATTGCCTTCTTGCTTTTTCTGCTCCGCGTCACTAAAAACGGTTTTTTTTGCATTAAAAACACTGCGCCCAACAATCGCATCATTTATTTTACCAAGGGAAAAACATAAACACAAATGCGAAACAAGAGTGAAGTTGATACAAAATTTATCACGCGGTAACTAGGTAGATGAAATTTGGGTAGACAACCACTGAACCGAAAAAATGACATTAAAAATTTGAGCTTAAAAAACGTTTCAAAGACCATCCACCCTCGCAACACGCATGTATTTAAGTTCTTCAAATCAGGTATAATAAGGCAACTAAACCGGTGAAATGTGGGTCGGGAAAAAAGAAGAGACAGCTGTCAGCGTTAAATTATAATTTAATTGAAACAATTTACGAAGCAATTTACGAAACAAATTTAGTCAGGAAAAAGTGACTTTCGAAACAGTCTTAACAACGCAAGATGAGGCAGCTAACCCGAAATCATATCAGACTAATTTTTTCCAGCCGACTGAACAAGTCGAGCAAAAACAACAAGAGATATTATAAAAATTGCAATGGTTTTAAAACCAACCTAACACAAAAGTCGAATAGAAAGTGAATTGAAAAGGTAGAAAGCTCAAAATGTTCCTGTTGGTTGAAATGACTGAAAAAACTGAAACTATTGCTTCGGTGATAAAATTGTTAACATAAAAAAGTTCACGTTCCAATTTGATAACGCTTACTTTGAATAACAGAAAGGCTTGCAATGTGTCGGATTTGGACCTCCGACATCGAGATTAGTAGTCTCACGTATCTGTGCCAAAAACTTTATCTGACTTTGAAATTTTTCTAGCACTAGGCACCAATGAAGCAGCTACAGGTGCAACACAGAGTCAAAGCTGAGCTTCGCTTCACTTCCGATACCACATAAAAATAGCATTGCAAGCTAGCAGACAGGAAGGGAGAGCCACTAAATCTAATGAAAACAGAAAAACTTAGAAGAAACCGAAAGTAAAAAAACTTTAAAATGCTGCCTGGAACGTTGTCCTATTTCTAGACAAGTTCTATATAAAACACGTCCAAAAACATATTCAATGACGTTTAAGGAAAATTCAAAAACAATTATTGAGCCAAAACAAAAGTGTTGTCATAAAAAACTTTCAACTATAATCTCTATTCAGATATTTTTGATATTTTGCACAATCCGGAAAAAAGCGTACAAATTACGGTTTCCTTGAAACACATTTGACGGCGTTTAAGGAAAATTCGAAAAGAATTATCCAGCGAAACTAAAATTGTTTTCATGAAAAAATTTGAATCAAAATATCTATTCTTAGATTTTTAACGTTTTGTGCGATCCAGAGGAACGCATAAAAATTACGATTCCCTCGAAACGACAATAAAATCAGGTTAGTAAGCCAAAAAAAATTAAGGAAAAACTATTTAAGCCGAAAAATTTTGTAAGCGAAAAAAAACAGGAAAGTATACGAAGTCAAGGTTAGTAGAATTACAAATTGCAGGAGTAAATGAAAACATAAAAAGCAACTACAATGAAAACAAAATAAGCAAAAACATATAACATGTGGCAACTGAGCCGACAAAATAAAAGCTGACAAAAAACGCCAATAAATATTTTGAAATTTAGAGTTTTTTGTGTCCCCACTGCACAACGTTAGAAGTTGGCAGCCAGCAAACAACCGACTTGTCTCAAATTTTAGAAAACTAGCGCTGAATGACTGCCAAACTCATATGAGCAAGGGAACCCCAATAGAAAGCAAAACACATAACAGTTGACCATAGTGACCCGTCATTTACCGGACTACGAAAGGACCACCAGAACATCAAGATTTGGAGGTTTGAGCCTTAATCAATCCATTGAAGCGTTTCGCAAAGCAGCCCATCAGACATGCGCCGTCTGGCAGCCACATCTTTTCTACCTCTCAAGATGAAAGGTGCACACGGATTTCCTCCACAGAATGAGTAGATTGCTAGAATCGTTCGCAGAACATTACTCGAGTTCTGAATATTCGCTAAACGTGGCAATGGTTATGGCTCCGCTGCTTTTACAAAGGTCTGACAAAACCAATCAAAAGGGGCAGAATTCAGAAGTCTTCAGAGACGTCTTGATTTGTGGGACAAAGGCGAGGTAGATCAATTGCTGAGAGTGTACAAAAACAATCCTGATTAAAGAAACAGAAGAAAAACAGAAATTAAAATGTTGCAATAACCTTCGTCAACCACATGAAACGAAGAAAAGCTGGCGCTGCTGTCGCAAAATTAATGGGTAGTCTTGGCAGAGGGGTTGAACAGTTACAGGAAGTGATCTAAGCATAAAAATAAAACGAAAACAGTGAAAGAGCATCTGCTAGACCTTCATCCAAGACAGCGCAGTATTCAGGTGGCCGCCCTTCGTTGACTGTCCAGAAAACGATCAGGTCTTTCAGCATGTGTTATTCGACAAGATAACCGGAGGTATTATGCGAAAATGCGTGACGCAACTCAAAAGAGCAACGGAACCATCCGCAACAGATGCAGTCCAGTGGAAGCGGTTCTTAACCGAGCACAAAAAAGCATCGAATACGCTCTGCCAGTCTGTAGCCGATGTTGCTCCAGACAATATGAACAACTTGCGTGATAGTCTGCTGATACATAATACGACAGAATTAGCGCCGGCACGCAAACCAAAAATCTACCGAACCGATGAAAGAAAAAAGTTGCATTGTAATTACGCTAGACTTAACAGACCTGTATCAATTACAAAGCATCCAATAAATATCTTTATCTAAATAGAATCCCCACACAGATAGTAAATTTGCTATTTCTAAATTTCATCGATTTAACTTTAGCACAAATAAAAAAAAATGATCAATTAATTAGAAATCGCACAAGCAGGGAGGAAAAAAGCAATAGAAAAAAGAGGGATATGTGAACACATATATTGACATGCTCTATGTTCTACATAAACGAAAACATTGCAAATGCCTCGCTTATCACTAGGGTAATTAAAAATCTATTAATTAAGTTTGATAGAGTAAGTTCAACTATACCAGGGTTTCATTTCCACATCAGTGTCAGCCATTCGTTACAAACTAAAATAAATAAAATAAGACATAAAAAATGCGAAGAGGCGAATTTGGAAATATCAGTTTGACAAAAACACTCCTCTTATAACATCATCAAGTCAAATAAGTTTGAACTTTTTTATGATTATTATTATTATTATTATTTATTATTATATTTTTATGAAGTAGTCAGAAGGGTGACACCTAACAGTGCCGAAAAACTAATATAGAAAATGCAATTTTTTTTATATTCTTTTTTTTCTACAGGTAATCAGAAGGTCAAAAGTATCATAGTAACCGAGGTTACAGTCATGAGTCCCTTCATCATGTATTCCAGTCAAAATTCTTGGAATTTTTTAGATATGGAAGTGATAATGATAAAAGAAGATGACAAGTGTTTAAGTCCTTTTCAATTAAAATCGATACGGGTTAATTGAAAAGATGAAAATGCAATTAGGAACAGTGCCGAAAAACTAGTGCCGCAATATGTAGAAAACCGATGTAGAAATAAGGTTTGAGGAACAGTGTAAAAAAATAATGGCAAAAACTCGAAAAAGCAACCAGCAGACATTATATTTCAGCAAGCTTTTTTTTTTGAGATACCTATCTTTTTTGGTTTTTTTTATTTTTATAATCAGAAGGCCAGTATCATAGTAATCGAAGTTACAATCAAGAATCCCTTCATCGCATTTTCCAGTCAAACTCCTAGGAATTTTCTAGATATGGAAGAGTAAAGTATAACGTGGATATAAGTAAAGATAGTCAGACGATTGAGGATCAAGCCAACCAGATTGAGAAAACTAACACCTGCACAGAATAAACCGGAGTTGATTGATATTCAAAAAGATTGACCTGATATGAATGACAAATTCATATACATTCGAAAAGCAACCAACATTGATTACCAAAAGTGACACATTCGATAATAAAATTTCGACATTAGTTCATGCGAAGACTCATTCGACATCGGTTCATTTGATATTAGTTCAGTTTGAACTTGTGATAAAGAAACAAGAAGTTTTATATGATATTATGAACGATATTAAAAAACTTGTTACGGGGCCACAGTCTCGACTACATCAAACAACATTCCAAACAATATTTTACATTCTAATCCATCTAATAACGAAATTGTAATTGATGGAATTTCTGAAGACAAAGGTGACTTCACGTCTAATGTTGAAGCAGAAGGGGACAAGGTTTCGGAAATAATGGATGGAGTATATTGACGAGCCAAATATTATTATTATTATTATTATTATTATTATTATTATTATTATTATTATTATTATTATTATTATTATTATTATATTGGATTTACATTTACAACGTAAATGAGGGGACTGTTAGTCCCGTAGATAAATCAAGTCAATTGAGTCCCGAAAGGTCAATGTGTCGATCTCTGCAATTTGAGCAATAACACAAGAATGTCCAGGTACATGGACTGAGTTCATCATAGTGACTGTGGAAAAACGACCACATCAGTTTGAGTAGACGATACTTCAAGTCAGGCGAGAAGGTTCTGATGTCGAGAACGTTTGCTATTCTGTTGGCTCTCCATGGCGTTCTATACCAAAAATGGTTGCGCTGGCGCTCGAGCTGAATGATCGGGATATCAAACAGTAAACGAGTTGCTGTGCGTCGTGAGCCAATGGGTGCGCAGGAATAACAACTGGTGAGATCACAGTCATATAGTCCACTGACAATTTTTGAAAGAGTGAGAAAGTCAGTTAAACCGGCAAATTACAACATAGATAAGATGCCAAGGGAACTGATTGCTTCACGGTACGGTGTGTCAGGGAGCATCCATCTGACAACTCGTTTCTGGAAAGTTTCTAGTTGCTTCAAGTCCGATTTGTTTGGAGACCAGCATTGAGAAGCATATAAACTGATAGGCATGAGAAGTGTTTACAAGTGGAGCTTCACCTGCGGAGAGAGAAGATGACCGACACTGCGGCGTATCAGGAAGAATGTTGCATTTGCTTTAGTTAGCTTTTTCTTCATGTGCTCGGTCCACGACAAAGTGATGTTGATTTGTAGTCCGGGATCGTTCACTGATGAGACTAAGTCGAGAGTTGTATTGCAGAAGGTAATGTCGCAGGGGTAACAATTCTTAAATTCTATTACACAACATTTTGAAATATTAAAAGGCAACCGATTTTCGGTAGACCAAGTACTCAGTCTATCAAGATCCGCGGTAAGCAGAGGAAACATATCGGGGAAATTGTCGAAAAACGTTTCAAGTCGTCAGCAAAGATAAAAGCAACAGAATTAAATATTTTATCAGGGAGGTCATTGATGAAAATCAAAAACAGATTCGGACCCAACAGTGAGCCTTGGGGAACACCACTCAGCACTAAGCGAACAGCCGACAAAATACCATTGATGCGAACTCTCTGAGATCTGTTTGTAAGGTAGCTCCTTAGAATCTTGAGAAGTTTTCCTTCTATCCCAATGTTTCTGATTTTTTGCAGAAGAACTGTGTGGCTGATTTTGTCAAAAGCTTTAGAAAAGTCGAACATTACAAGGCACGAAGCAATGTCTTTTTCGGATATTGATGCATAAATGTAGTTCAAGCAATGTAATAGTTGAAGAATGGCAGATTTACGAGGCAGAAAACAGAACTGGGCTGAGTTGACATACTTGATAAAATGGTCGGCGATTTGCGAAAATAAAATTTTCTCAAAACACTTCGAGTAAACGAGTTGCTGTGCGTCGTGAGCCACTGGGTGCGCAGGAATAACAACTGGTGAGATCACAGTCGTATAGGCCACTGACAATTTTTGAAAGAGTGAGAAAGTCAGTTAAAACGGCAAATTACAACATGGATAAGATGCCAAGGGAACTGATTGCTTCACGGTACGGTGTGTCAGGGAGCATCCATCTGACAACTCGTTTCTGGAAAGTTTCTAGCTGCTTCAAGTCCGATTTGTTTGGAGACCAGCATTGAGAAGCATATAAACTGATAGGCATGAGAAGTGTTTACAAGTGGAGCTTCACCTGCGGAGAGAGAAGATGACCGACACTGCGGCGTATCAGGAAGAATGTTGCATTTGCTTTAGTTAGCTTTTTCTTTAAGTGCTCGGTCCACGACAAAGTGATGTTGATTTGCAGTCCGGGATCGTTCACTGATGAGACTAAGTCGAGAGTTGTATTGCAGAAGGTAATGTCGCAGGGGTAACAATTCTTAAAATCTACTACACAACATTTTGAAATATTAAAAGGCAACCGATTTTCGGTAGACCAAGTACTCAGTCTATCAAGATCCGCGGTAAGCAGAGGAAACATATCGGGGAAATTGTCGAAAAACGTTTCAAGTCGTCAGCAAAGATAAAAGCAACAGAATTAAATATTTTATCAGGGAGGTCATTGATGAAAATCAAAAACAGATTCGGACCCAACAGTGAGCCTTGGGGAACACCACTCAGCACTAAGCGAACAGCCGACAAAATACCATTGATGCGAACTCTCTGAGATCTGTTTGTAAGGTAGCTCCTTAGAATCTTGAGAAGTTTTCCTTCTATCCCAACGTTTCTGATTTTTTGCAGAAGAACTGTGTGGCTGATTTTGTCAAAAGCTTTAGAAAAGTCGAACATTACAAGGCACGAAGCAATGTCTTTTTCGGATATTGATGCATAAATGTAGTTCAAGCAATGTAATAGTTGAAGAAGGGCAGATTTACGAGGCAGAAAACCGAACTGGGCTGAGTTGACATACTTGATAAAATGGTCGGCGATTTGCGAAAATAAAATTTTCTCAAAACACTTCGAGTAAACGAGTTGCTGTGCGTCGTGAGCCACTGGGTGCGCAGGAATAACAACTGGTGAGATCACAGTCGTATAGGCCACTGACAATTTTTGAAAGAGTGAGAAAGTCAGTTAAAACGGCAAATTACAACATGGATAAGATGCCAAGGGAACTGATTGCTTCACGGTACGGTGTGTCAGGGAGCATCCATCTGACAACTCGTTTCTGGAAAGTTTCTAGTTGCTTCAAGTCCGATTTGTTTGGAGACCAGCATTGAGAAGCATATAAACTGATAGGCATGAGAAGTGTTTACAAGTAGAGCTTCACCTGCGGAGAGAGAAGATGACCGACACTGCGGCGTATCAGGAAGAATGTTGCATTTGCTTTAGTTAGCTTTTTCTTTAAGTGCTCGGTCCACGACAAAGTGATGTTGATTTGCAGTCCGGGATCGTTCACTGATGAGACTAAGTCGAAAGTTGTATTGCAGAAGGTAATGTCGCAGGGGTAACAATTCTTAAAATCTACTACACAACATTTTGAAATATTAAAAGGCAACCGATTTTCGGTAGACCAAGTACTCAGTCTATCAAGATCCGCGGTAAGCAGAGGAGACAAATTGGGGAATTTGTCGAAAAATGTTTCAAGTCGTCAGCAAAGATAAAAGCAACAGAATTAAATATTTTATCAGGGAGGTCATTGATGAAAATCAAAAACAGATTCGGACCCAACAGTGAGCCTTGGGGAACACCACTCAGCACTAAGCGAACAGCCGACAAAATACCATTGATGCGAACTCTCTGAGATCTGTTTGTAAGGTAGCTCCTTAGAATCTTGAGAAGTTTTCCTTCTATCCCAACGTTTCTGATTTTTTGCAGAAGAACTGTGTGGCTGATTTTGTCAAAAGCTTTAGAAAAGTCGAACATTACAAGGCACGAAGCAATGTCTTTTTCGGATATTGATGCATAAATGTAGTTCAAGCAATGTAATAGTTGAAGAATGGCAGATTTACGAGGCACAAAACCGAACTGGGCTGAGTTGACATACTTGATAAAATGGTCGGCAATTTGCGAAAATACAATTTTCTCAAAACACTTCGAAACAATATTCAGAAGAGTAGCAGGGCGATAATTCGAAATTTCGGACTTTTTCCCTTTCTTGAAAATAGGACTGACAATGCCTAGTTTCCATTTTTCGGGAAACGTTTCCAGCCTGTGAATGTTTCGGAACACGTTGAAAACTGAAGGAGTTAGCTCGGTTGCTAATTTGCGCAAGAACACTGG